AAATTGAGCTCCGTTAAAAAAACGTATATGTTAATGTAAATTACCTCCGACGGATAATGCTGGAGTCAGAACATGTTACATGCTGTGAAATTAAACAACCAACCGAACAAACTACAATTTGTGCTGTATTAACCTATACTAACCGCATTGTTTTGAAAAGTTTTAATAAAATAAAAAATAGGAAAATATGCTTTGCAACTAGGAATGAGCTCAGTATCTTAAGTTACAAACTCTGTCATAGCTTTCCTCTTTCTATGCAACAAAATCAACTTTTAACTGTCCTAATAGGATTAAGTTTCCTTGAAAAAACTGTTTCAAGCATTCCCTTGTTCATTTGGTTCTCTTCTTCCATATAACACAAATTCCTCTTACAAAATATAAAATAGTTGGGCAGAATTCCTTGGGGAAAAATGGTTCATCTGTCGGTAACACTCTAAAAATCAATCTAATTTGCTTTAATGCATGTCATTGAAGCTAGATTTACTTTTTCATGAAGCCAAGGACTTTTTCACCGATGTTTGCTATTCCTATCTAAAAAAACGGTAATTGTATTTAGATAATTTTTTTACATCAATGCAATGTATTTTACTTTTATGAACAGTGATTTCCTTATTGTAATTATATTGGAAGAATAAATTTATTTGTAAAAATTACATCTTTTCAATTGCTGACTTGTCCTCTCAAGCTTGCGAAAAGCGCAATGCTGTGAAACTTGATCAAAAATCAATCAGAACACCTCTCACCTCCCTAATCTTAATATTCTTGATGAAATATTTCCCTCAACATCGTAATTGTGACACCTTTGACTTACAATCTTTTCACAATTTCAATTGCTTTTTTTACGCACTCCATGAAATTTACCTCTCAAAAACTATTAATTTTTGGTCTCAAAAAAACGAGGATTTTTTTATGATTTTTACAGAGCAAGCAAGTCTTACGTGAAAAATAATTAAATTGTATCCGCTTCAATGGGTCAAAAGCATTGGTCCCAGGGTTGCATTTTGATGTTTAATTTTTGTAGATTGGATCCCGTACGCCAAATGGACGTATTTAAAACGAAATGAACTATATCTATTATGACATGAGCGCTGTCATGTATGTATACTTACGGATTTTAGGGCTCATGTCTGAATTGATATTGTTCCTTTTGATTTAAATACGTCCAAATGTCTTCGTTTTGTTATAGGAACCCTCTGAGATATCACCGTTCTGGCCAGTAGTAATGCCTTCAAATGCCGTTGATTTTGAGGGGCAATAGTTATAAGACATTGTGTCAACGATTTTTGTCTGCGTCACTGTTTTTTCCAGTACTTTATACGTCCGCGCGTTTTTTCGGTGGGGGAGTTCCGATCCACGTACCAATTGAGACCCAAAGCTAATTGATGCGCATGTAAACACAAAGTTTAGAGAATATGGTCGAAAGCGTTCGTTAAGGCACAAGAAAAATCACTTACATCGAGCAGAAACCCACTTTCAATTAGCGATTTTATATTCTTGATTCAAAATAAAATCTTCTTGACGGCATACTCAAGAATGTTTCTGCCTATATTGAGTCATCTTTTCCTTGATGAAATTTAAATGCTAAACGTTATTAAACACGGACGCTATAACTTAGTGAGTTTTTGGACTACCGCTTTCTCTCTGTGCCTCTTGATTTATTTTGCTTTGAGGAAAGCTCCGCGCTCTTAAAAGATGCCTGTCACTCTTAATAAGTTGGAGCGCCCTCAATTTCTTATGATATTTTGCAACTCCTCTGTTGCGAAAGAGTTCCTTAAGGCGCTGTGGCACGCTGCGGCACGGCGGTCAGCCAACGCAAAACGCGCATTGGCGCCTACAAACCTAACAGGGATACTACACGCATTGTGCAATGCGTGAAGTATCCCTGTTAGGTTTGTAGGCGCCAGCGCGCGTTTTGCGTTGGCAGCACGCTGCTCTGCTCTAGGTTTGGCTCTAATATTTAAACTCGCGGAGCCAGCGTTCTTTAACTAATGATTTTGAAATGTTTGTCCACTCTTTAGGGATTATTCACATTTAAATTGATGGAGAGAAAATATATTTATTAAAGTAAGGAGGCACACATTTGCGGTGGTTACTCAACGTGACACTTGGGTGGAAGCAAGGTGGAAGAGGCCATAAAGGCGTCAATGCCGCGGTAGATGACGTTATAAACTTAATGTTTCAAAGCGCGATATTTCGGTTCATATTGAAAGTAGAAAATTGCTGTTTGGATAGATATTATTATTTTTAGCTAATCTATGAAATTAAAGCATCAAAACACGATTCTGTGACCAGATCAACTGACCTATTCTGTGACCACCGCACAAGACTCATAGAAAAAGTGGCCATTTTTATGTTGATCAAGTAACGATTACAATTATTTGACGCGTTGTTTGGTGGATAAATAAACTTAAACAAACCGATAATAAAATCATTGCGAACAGTTTTGAATGTCAAATCGTACGAAGCGAAGTTACATGTGGAATCAGGTGCGGTTAAGCAAACACGCTCAATTGAGTTTAAACGTCCTTAAAATTGGACGATGTTGAAGTTCAAACAACACGTGCGATTTAAAAGTAGCGCGTTGTTGTCAAACTTATGCTTTCTTTTCAAAAACATTTTTCTTATGTCTGCCTGGTTTGATTCATATCTTTGTTCATCAGGACGTAGGGTTGGAAACTGCGATGAAACGAAATTAGCAGATGGTCAGGAGCGTATACCAAGGAAAATTGCCTTCCGAATCTAGGATAGGCAAAAAGCCGCACTGTAAATTTTGAATAGATATCTGCTCAATTTATTTCTTCTGCTTTCTTTTAGAGTTAACTTTACACTGCAAGGTAAAAAAAGGGCGGTTGAAATTACCAATTTTTACCTATAAAAAATACCGCGTTAGGTAAACGATAGTTGGTAACATTACTAGAGGAGGAACATAGCATTGAGCAGTCCCAGTGATTGGCATTTTATGTGAAAATCTTAAGATTTTACGGTCCGGATCTAATACTTTACACAAGGAAAAAATTCCCTGTTAGAGTAACAATAATCCCTATTAAACATGCCGCGACAAGAATTTTACATTGAAACAGTAGAAAGTCTCCTTGTCGCAGAAGGCATTTCTAATATTTTAAAAACTAGTCCTGCCGCTTTAAAAAGCTTTTCAATTGGCTGGACAAGAATATCTGTTGCAGCATATCTAACAGGCTGCATATTTTTGTGAGTGCATAGTGTGCTTATACTAATTAGCGATACATTCCCCACATATTTCCTTAACTTTGCGGGTTGCACCGCAATTTCACACAGTTTTTGTTTCGCTCGATTTCTATTATGTCACAATTTTGTCAATATTTCACTTTACATCGTGATCAAATGTCACTGTGACTCTTAGACGCAACTTGAATCCGGGAATTCCGGGTCAACTTGAATTGCTAATAAACACGTGGCTTACGGGTTGTATAGGGACGGTATACATACCAGCTTTAAATGGACTGTTATTTGCAATTTGGAACTATACATTCTGGCCCGGTTTAAAAACAACGTATGTGCTATTCGTTTTCCTATGCACATAAGTGTTTTTTCAGATGAGCCAGAATTTATAGTTCCAAATTGCAAAGTGCAGTCCAAATGTAGGTCTACAAGTGCATCGTGAAGAAAAGAATCAGCCACCGAATTGAGAAAGAAGAAAAAATCGAGTGTCAGAGAATTTATTTCGACAAACCACCCCTAAAATTTCCAATAAGGGTCAAATTGACCCGACTATCTCTTTTGAGGGAGCTATGGTGCCAATACATACGAGCTTCAGATGTAAGTCTACAATTCAATCTTGAAAAAAGAATCAAACATCAAATTGAAAAAAAAAGAGAAAAAAGAGATTTTCAACAAAGCTAATGGTAATGATAAAGGAGCACATGTTCGAGCCTTGTTCTTTAACTTTCCCACTGGATCTGCGCGAAACTTTAAGCATAAAGCGGAGCAGTGCTTTTTCAAGTCTCACGCCATCGCGCCTTCAATTTTGCAGATGCAACACGGACATCCATCAAGTACGAATATTTGTATCTCTGCGCCGTCGTTAACGCGCGTCTTTTCCCTTGCCCTATCTCGTATTTGAAGTGGCATACCATCGCGCCTTCAATTTTGCAGATGCAACACGGACATCCATCAAGTACGAATAGTTGTATCTCTGCGCCGTCTTCAACGCGCATCTTTTCCCTTGCTCTATCTCTTATTTGAAGTGGCGCTTCGAAGGCTACGTGAGCAATACAGCCAACGATAAGAACGACGTTATCGGGCCTCGTTTTTTAACTTTTCTTTTACTAAATTTGAATACATTTGATATGGTTTGATACATTGGTATTCAGTTAGCTAGAGTTAAATTACATTCTATAAATAATTATTTTAGAATATCATCCTGCCTGATTATATGCCAAATTGCGCAATGATGAAAGCTGTGCGAAACTACGGTGCTGCCACAATTTGTAATATGTTTACGTTCAAATGGAATTTTCCGTTTTACTAGTATCAGATACGTCACAAAGGCAGTTATGACGTCGAGATTTTTCGCCTCTCTCAAAACATTCAGAGCTTACCCTGATAACTCGGGGGGTCGGAAAAACCAATGATAGACGTCAGAGATTTTTTCCGCCTCTTCCTGCTTTCCGTACTGCCGTGCTAAGGAAGAACGCCGCATGAACATTCGAAAGTTGCCAAATTTCCTCCAATAAAATGTTTATTTTTGAGGAAAGTTATGAATATTTTTCCTTGAAATTTTCAGGAATTTCAGGTGAAATCGCAAGCAACATTAACTGAAAAATTGGGAGGAAATTATTCATAAGTTTACCCGGAAATTCGTGTTTTATCAGAGGAAATTTGGCAACACCTGAGGGTTCTTACGACGTTTTTCCCTAGCACGGCAGTGCAGTCCTTCAATCCTTCAAATGGAGCAAAAAAAGGTATTTCCGCGACGAGCACTGCCGCGTTGAGCCTCCGAACCGTTTGTTAGCAACTGAGATCCGTCAACATACTCAAGGCCTGTGTTGATACCATGATTTAGGGCCATGATTCTGTAGGATATCGTGCGATCCATGTGAAAACCAACAAAATTTTTCGAAACGATCTCGATTATCAGGTCATCGCAGCTATCTCTAAGAGCGTAGCACAGTGGATTTTGTTGAGTATGGCCCGCTACATCGCATCCCTTATCGTCGTAGGTTTTTTGGTGAGTGCCAATTTTTTATCGGTAATGAGAATTAAATGGGTTTGCGATATGTTTTTATAAATAAATCTGGATTTTGACCTTTTCATTTCTTATGTTTGACGTTATAGGGCGTAAGAGAGCGCCGAAAAGTATGTTTCTTTTTGTTTGCACGTCTATCTCACAAGTATCTACCGATAGCCAGATATCATAAATATTTGCCAAATAGATCTTCAGATACATAAATGATAGGAGAGGTGAATGTAGTAAACAGAATTAGATGGTGGCAATTCGCGATTTGTTTACAGTGTGACCTCAGGTACAACATAACGTAAATATATAAAATTCAAGGCATGGGAACAGGAACACGGATCGAAAGATCATTGGTTTGACGTAATAAAACAGAAAATTTGATTTCAAACGCTATTGAAAGTATGATTCTTCTCCATTAGCTACATTATCTCCAAGACGAACGATGACTAAAATCTGCTCTCACTTGCGTCATCAATATCTCTGAAAGATATCGATACTGCTATCACCGTCTCTTTTTCTAATGAAACATGAAACATTGGAAAGTCGGAGAACTGACAGTGAATGAAAAACAGTGTCATTTTCAAAAAGGGTTTAATGCATCATTGGATCCGACAAGAATTCATTTTCATGCTCATTTTTCCGAATCAAAAAACACTTAGGAGGCCAGGTGGGAATAGACTCTAATCTGAATGGAGAGAACTCGTTCACTTAACATCACTTGTCCGGCACATTATCGTGCATTTAGTACATATTAACATTTTGTTTATATACAACGAAAAATAAAAAAACAATAAGTAGATGTAACATATAAATTAGGCGTATGGGTTAGTTAGTTATTTTTATCAAAGGCATTCAGCAACTTCGGCTCTTAATGCTCTAACAGAAAATATGAGGGGTAATTACGAATACAAAAATGTTGGTTATTTTGACTTAATGGAAGCGAAAAAAATTCTAAATTTTGGTTGTAACGCTAGCTATCGGAGGTTAGTAGGCTTACAGAATAAATCCTCCCTATAATATATACATTTTTTTTTCAACAGCTCTTCAAACATGCGACTTACGCCGATCCCGATCCATCCATCTTTGGTAGCTTGGGTGACAATTCCGTGAGTTCTTAAATTGATAAATTCTTTATTTTTTTAAATATGTTGTTTATTTTGAACTTATCTTTATTCTCTCAAATTTCTATAAGCACATAAAGTTATTGACGTATTTACATCATTGATACATTGCTAGGGGCAACTTTTTTCAAATCGACGGTGAAACTACCAAACCACGTATCTCGGTTTGCGACGTCGCAGACTTCCTGTCATACTTTATTTTTTAAATAAAAATTTACTTAACATCCAGTCTTGAAAATTTCTGTGATTTTTCCTCTTTGTGCGGAGAAAATTCCGTGAAAATTTCAAGGAATGATATTGATTTGGTCTACTTCAAAAAAATAAAATGTGAGCGTAGATTTTTAAACACCGCAAACGAGATACGTGGTTTGGTAGTTTCACCGTCGAAATGCGTTTTGACGAGGCACTATTGCGCATTGAAAAAACTCAAAAACTTTATACTCCTATTTTCTCAATTTTTTTATTTATTCCATTTATGTCCTTATCTTATACCTTACCTATCCGTTATTTCCTTATTTATATATTTGTGTACCTGCTTATTTTTAGCGCTCTTTGTAAACGTCCTGACTGGCGTCACTTTGGCGTGACCCCAGAGAGTGAATAATGGACATGAACGCCACGCGCCACTAGCTATAAGTGCCTATGAAGAAATGATTCTGAAGGGCCCACGAGTGATAGACATTCAGCAACTTTCCAAAACCAGCGAATTCCCGAAAATATATAAAAATACAGAACAGCTGATTAGCTTACATATGCTGTAGGCGGGATAACATACTGAGGAGAGCGCGTTGTGCGTAAGGCGCGCCGGATCAAATGAAGGGGCCAGGACGAGATACGCATTTCTGCACTTTAGTCGGAGATACGCTAAAAAAGTTCTACTGTTTTAGATGATTTCCCAATTTTTCTCGATTATAGTCTCTTGCTGGCAGATAAGACGACATCTTCAATAACACGTTTATGCAGCTAACTCAAAACTGTCAAAAATCGAGATACGCGCCTCCGCATTTTCACCATCGATATTGTGTCTATAATTCATATTTTGTTCTACAAGTACTTGTTATTGGCATTCTAGGCCAAAATGAGTGTACAATTTCGGAAAGTTAAATATCAAATAAGGGATTGTAGTTGACGGTATTTTGATTTTATTTCAGGTATGGAACGCTCCTGTTTTGAGTCACATAAAAGCTGGGGTGGATACGGTTTCGGTAAGTTCCTAATTAGCTACTTGGCGCACATAATAGATGTATAATTAATCCATTACAATTTAAAGCTTTCTCACTCTCTCGGTGTTTACAAATTTACCTCTTTTTTTAAAAAATTATTTGGTAAGTCTTAGAGTATTTTTCGTTACATATTTTTGAAGCCCACGCCTCACGATGGATTTTTCAGAAAACTGAAAAATATTGCCAATATCTCTCTCCAAAACATTTTATCCACCCTCCACTGAGATTCGATTAAAGAGGCGCATAGGAAAAATCAGAAAAATACTATCCAGAATATTTATTAACATAAAATTAAAGTAACATGAAAAATTAACTAAATTAATTTTTTTCTAATAATTATTAGACATAATTATTAAAAGACTAAATTAACATGGAAAAAATCACTCGCATGCCTGCCGAGTATTGATTCTCTACAGTACACCTCTAGGATTATCTCTGAAGCAAGGTATTCGGATTATACTTGTGTGGGCCAATGATAGTATTAACAACCCAACCTAATTAGGCAGGGTGAATATTAATTTTTGGCTTCGTTTTATCTTCACAGGATAAGTTCCAACAGTTTCTCGCGTTCATGAGAGAGTATGGGAAAACATACACAAGCAAAGAAGAGCTAGAAAAGAGATTTCACATCTTCCAAGACAACATGAAAACGGTCAAAGAGCTTAACGAGGAGAATAAGGGTAGAGCCTCGTTTGGGATCACTGAATTCTCGGACTTGACACGTTTGTATTCATTCTAAGTTTTCCTCTGAAGTATTGAACTTGATTAGACAGCATTTCGAAGATTAATCTTAGTTGTTTTCATTATTTTGTTTTCCCTTTCTCCGTCAGGATTACATTCTATCAGAACTTCCACCAGTAAATGATAATCAAAAACACAGTAAAAATTGTATTATATTTCTCTTCTGCTTGATTTCAGTGAACCCTCATTATTTTCAAGATGTTTTTCTCACGTTTATCTCATTTTAATTTATTTTCTTTCTTTTTCTTTTCTTAGACTCTGGTCTGACCAGTGACTTACTTGTTGAATTTGTATCTTTTAAGCGAATTTTTGATTTAGCTATGCTATATTGTTACTTAAATCCTTAATATGTTGAACCTACATTACATTTCTTGAAACGTTATCACATCTTCAGGGTAGAACTAAAAAACCCTATCCACTTTCGCGTGTCCCATTGTTTTGAAAACGTCACTCAAAGTGTAAGGACACTCACGCTTCAGTTTTTTAGGACAGTTTGATTGAAAAGTGAAACTTCATTCATTTTTCAATTGATCTATTTTCTGTATTTTTTTCAGCGGAGGAGTTCAAGCGGACAAGATTGGGACTGAAACGCAAAACTGAGCATAAAGATGACACGAATTAAATAATTACATCCTACCACGGTTTAAAATATTAACGCGAAAGAATTATGCCCCAAAGCATCTAAAGTTCATTCTAAAATCTTCGCGCGAGGTATCACACCCTCACCGATTCCGGCATTTTTTGGAACATTATCTAGCCACTGACGATTTTTACAGTAAAAACTGTTGTGAAATCGCTTTCTGACTGCTACATATATATACAAATTGTTCGAATTAAAAAAATAAAACACAGACAAATCCAGGACGGTGTCTATTTGACTTTAAACATACCTTTTATCCTTGTAGCATTTTGTAATGGAGAAGTTGCGAATGGTTGAAATAAAACTGCGATTTAATTGCCATTTTATTGCTAAATAATCGCTAGGATCAATCTTCGAGCGATTTCATTTTATATTTTTACAATAGAAGAGTGACTTCTCACCGATGGTATTCTAAAAGATCTCACAGTTCAACAATTTTACAGAAAATTCCTTACGGAGAGAAAAAAAATTAAGGTTTTCATTAGGTGCATTTAGATACTTCTCCATTTAAAAATACAAGATTGACTGAAAGTTTACAACGTCACTAGCCCAGGTAAGTGTTTCTTTTTATCTGCACCACCAATTTTCAAAGTGGGTATCCATGCAGCAAGAACAGTTGCACCATCGCGTTGTCATGAACGTAGACCGTCGGCGAAAGTATGAAAAGACAGTACGGCGCGGCGCCTTCATTTCGCTGCTTATGCAACACGGATATCCGTCCATTTGATAAAATGCATGATTTGACTATTTGCCTTCAACATATGTTTGCCTCTCTCATCTGGGATTTATTGCGGAAAAACACGCTGTAGGTAAGTTGTAGGTCACACTAAGTATCATAGTTATTCCCGATATAAGCTGTGACGTGAACGGAATGGAGTTGCCGCACACTTTTTAATCTAACTAATAAACTTTGAAAATTTTTGCCTCATTTTTTTTGGTTTGGTGATTTATGTCATTAGCTCCATCTGGAAAATATTTGTAATTTCACCCAAAATTAATAAAGAAACAGGGTGTTCCAAAAAAAACTGAGAGTTGTCCTGTTTTGAGGAAACTATCAGAGATGTCGGAATACAATTTTTACGCGCTAGTGACTTACCTACTTCATCAGCTTTTAAAAAAGCTCTCGCCCACGACTTTTTGGTAAATAATTCTCCCTCCTGCGGCGATTTTTTGCGGACATTAAAAAATTCTCCGAATTTTTTGGTGGATAATTTTTCATTCTCCAACTCTAGTCCGTGAGGACATAGCGATACCTACTAAGAATGAAATTCGCCTTCTTTTAAAATGAGAATATGAATTTTTTGATGAAGGTCTCATGGAAAGTGACAAATTTGTCTCTAATAGAAGCTCATCGAACCTAAGACAGTCACAAAGTTAACAACTTAGTATGATCTTCTAGGCTCAAAAAATGCTTGACAAAGCTAAAATTTTAAACTTCGTTAAAGTCCTAATACCACCCACAAATGGTGATTTCACTAGTCAATCGATCTAATTTATTCGCAACTAATAAGAGGTTCAGGTTTAGGTTTAAGGTTAATATATTTGTAGGAGAAATTGTGTTTTGGGTATGTAATTTTTTCTACCCTTTTTCCTGTTTACGGCGATCACTAGCCGTGGAGAAAAATCTTTTTTAAAAATATGTGACAACATGACGCAAGTACTGAACGCAATTTGTGCCTCTTAATTTCTTTACACAAGTGCAATGTGATGTGCTTTTTATTAGGGAAATCCATTAGATTCCAGGCTTGCCAAAATTGTGTAATATTTTTATATTTTGCTCTCTTTGAAGAAGAATAGATTTAAACCAAGGAATTTTTATTGTGAGAAAATGAAACCAAAATTCAACGATACTCAGTCAATGTTCAATCAATTCCTTGACTTTATTACATATATAACGGGTTTATCATTCGTCTAAGGGAGGTACAATGAAGATTAAAACACCCTGTATAGAAAATTGAAAAATTATAATCAAAAGAATTTTCCATAATAAGTTGATGGACTCTTTCCGTCATGCATCATGAAACCCAACGGGTGCTACTGATGTCTCCATCGATATTAAAGAGTCAACAATACATTAGGTTCCACGTTTATTTTTCTTGTTGGCACTCACGTAACCCTTAGATGTGGTTATTCTTTTCTAAAATCCAATTACTAACATCAACATGTTTTTTCCTAGGTATTTTTATTGATGCGTACAGGTACATAAAACTGCACTTCATAAAATGCCATACCTGTGAAAAAAAATAAAAAAATAAACAAATTCTTATTTCGCGATTTTTTAAATTAGAGTAAAATATCATAAACGGGTGGAGGAGTGGGAAACGCATACATTACTTTTGTTTTGATTTGAAAGTTACTCGATCAGGGGCGTGGTGTGCTTAGCGATATATCGATTGACCTGCCACTTAAACCTATGAAAAAGGATCGATAAACAGGGCGTTCGCAGCGAACACCTTAATAATCGATTCTTTGCCATAGCTTCAAATGGGGAAATATCGATATATATCGAAGCACGCCACGCCACTGGACTTGATCGTGGGAAGCAATGCTGATTCGTCACCTTCCGGCCAAAGTATCATAAGCGCCATGCGACGCTTCAAAATTTCCGCCGCCATTTTGTTTTTATTATAAAGATTTTGTTGGTTGAATCCATCCGAAAATTCTACTGAAATATATCGGCAGCACAAAGAAAATTCAGTGAAATTTTCGGACAGCTTCGTTAAAAATTTATCTGTAAAAAGAACAAAATGGCGGCGGAAATTTTGAAATGTCGCATAGCGCTTGTGATACTTTGGCCGGTAGGTGACGATATCATGAAGTACCTATTGTCGTAACGACTAAAAGATTCCATGTATGAGTCTCTCAAAAAGTTGACAAGAGTGACTTTATTGTGACAGAACAGCTAATTTATGGGGTTCAAATAACTGCTCAGCGTGGCAACGTGGAATTGCTTTCAGATGGCAAACCGGTGCGCGGGTATTATCAGGTGATTAAACTAGGGGGTTATGAGCGGCAATTAACATCATCAGTTAGTCTATTCTGTTGAGTTAGAGAGTGGTCCACTCGTGCTTTCTGCCATGCGCATGGGGATCGAAAGTACCATCGTATTTGCTGCTGTCGTCTTGATGGTTGCACAAAATTTATCAGCCCTTCCACTTCAGGTACAAGTATTGTCGAACGAGATCGAATCAGATAGAAGTGATCAAAGGGGGCATACCTGCGCGTATAAAAAGCTTTGACAAAAAGGCCCGGGTGCAACAGAATAGGACTGCCAACAAATATTACATAGCAGTAGCATAGGTATCTAGAAATGTTTATTTGAGGAGGGGGGGGGGGTCCATGGGTAAAAACCTGAAAATCACTAAAAATTACTTTTTCGGGGGAAATTGCCTCAATCTGGCCCAACTAAGCCACAGGGAGACCGAATTAACCGGGGTGCTGGAAAGATTTTTTGCTGTTATTATTTTCAATTTCTTTTACTCGACAGGTGGTCCAATCAAATCTTTTGGGGGCTATTGGAGTCTTAAACATTTCGGAGGATTAGAAAGGTTATAACATTGGGATTTCAGGGGTTACGGAGCCCTCAAAGTTCAGGGTTTATGCCTCCAAATGACCTTTTAGAAACCTAAAACTGGCATTTGAATGAATTTTTTTCCTTACTTTCTCGGCTAGAGGATCGATTAAATCCTTCATAGGGTGGCCCACAAAAAATGAATTTCGGAAATTTATAGCCGTAACCCCCTAAATCGGTTACAGCATGTTCAAAAACACGGAAAATGAAATTTGGGGTCAATCGGACAAAATTAACCCAACGCGCAGTTGCCATTTATCCATGCAAAAATAGCGAATTTTTACTGTTTTTCAGTAATTTTTCGCTCCCCAAAAAATAAAGTCGGAAAGGTCTGCAAATTAAACAGAGGGCAAAATTAGTTCATCAACTTCACCCTAGTAAAGTTTTGGACCCCCTCCATGCTTTTGACCCGACGCGAAAATTTCACGCATAAAAATAACGAATTTTTGACTGTTTTTGATGATTTTTCCCTCTCGATAAATTAACGTTACAGAAGCCTCAATTGTAATCAGAGAGTAAAATTAGTAGCTTAGATGCTCCCAATGCTCCCCTTCCGATAATTTTGACACGCTGCGACGTTGCCATTTTTCTGAGCAAAATCGTGAATTTCGACTTATTTCAGTCTCTCTAGACCTAAAAAAAAAAAACTCAGGAGCCATCGAAAAAGTGCGCTAAAACACGGTGATTATACCATGAGTATCTTTTTTGAAAATTTGGACCCTGTAAAATGTTTTAGTCAGCGTGAAGTTACCACTTGGCAAACAGTGGTTGACGGTAATAGTCAATTTTCATACGGTAATGCGCCCTCAATTACATTGGATACTGTGCAATACTTTCGTGGTGGAATAGTTGCATTGGCACCTACAAACCTAACAGGGATACTTCACTCATTGCGCAATGCATGCAGTATCCCTGTTAGGTTTGTAGGCGCCAATGCAACTATTCCACCACGAAAGTATTGCACAGTATCCAATGTAATTGAAGGCGCACTAACGTATGAAACTTGACTGTAAGTCATGGTGTCAGGGGGTATTTTTTAACGAGGAACTTGAATTTCAACTCAATTTTTTAAAATTCAAAAATCCAAAATGGCAGAAATTGCCAAAAATGTTATCTTGAGACTTTCGAAATCTAAGACGGTTGACTGCCTGACCCAATTGAATGCTCTTTGTCACATATTAGGACGTATTTATTTAGTATTTATAAGTATTTTAAAAGAAATCAGAGACATGTGGGGAAGAAGGAGTCTGCTCGTTAGTTAAGGGCCGTAGAAATGAATGCCAGGTACATCAGCGGTGATGACTCAGATGTGAAACGACGAGGAGATCGGCGCTGGTGCACTTTAGCTCATGAACCTTGTCCACGACGATTGTAAGCGATTTAGGGGGTTACGGCTGTAAATTTCCGAAATTGATTTTTTGTGGGCCACCTTAAATTCCTTCAAGGGTCCATAAAACCTGCATTTGTTTTTTCTTTGAGAAGGATCGAGGGGATGAGAATAGAATTTTTTGGGGCCCACCCGTGCCCATGAAATCAGAGTTTTCGAAAAATTGAGACCGGGATTTTGATGGACCTCAGAAATGATTTGTGCGGCTCCTCCAAAACCACAACTCCTCTGACAGAGTCCCAAGGCTCCTAAATCAGTATTTTTCTATCTCCTGCGACTGAAATGAGGGCATCGTAGACCCTTTCTCTTATTGGAAACGTGAGTTGCCCTCAATTAACAAAGTATGCAACCCGCAAAGTGTGGGTCCTTTTAATCGCCCACACGTCGGTGCTAATTAATTCGGCCCTGTGCGCCGTTGGTAGTATAGGGACTCTGCACCCGTTAACCACGTGGGACACATCTCGCATCACCTTAATTGCCCTTGAAAAGTTTTGAATTTTAGAAAGGAGCATAAAGTCTGGATTTACTTTCATCTCTTACTCTTCCTTGTCTAGCGCCAGAATGACTGCTGTACAGTTGATGTTACTTCACTCTTGGCCTGTCAAGCTTCGTATTTGTTTGAGCGCTATACTGCCGTGCTAAGGAAGAACGCCGTATGAACCTTCAGGCGTTGCCAAATTTCTTTCGATAAAACACGAATTTCTTGGTAAACCTATGAATATTTTCTTTCCAATTTTTCAGACACTTTTGCTTGAAATTTCACCTAGAGTTCATGAAAATCTCGAGGGAAAATATTCATAACTTCCCTCAAAAATGAAAATTTTATCGAAGGAAATTTGGCAATTCTCGAATGTTCTTCCTTGGCACGGCAGTATGGTTTCTGTTACTCCAGCAAATGGAAGAAACTTTTCTATGTGCGTAAAATTACCCTTTAACTTAACTTTCATCCGAGTACTCTTTCAGGGGCTGGAGAATGGCGGGCTCGAAAGAGCGAGGCGTGGTCGTCTACTGAAAGGGCTCTTGTTAGGTGGCGCCCTCTACGGAGGCACGAAGCTTACCGTCCACGAGGTTAAGAAGCACAACCCATGCGCCTTCCACAATTCGGGCATCACTGACCAAGGCGAGATGGAGAACAAGATGGCGGCCGACCAGCGATGCCAGGAGTACTTCCAGAAGTACCAGAGCCAACTCAACCTCTGCCCTAACGCTGTCAGCGCCTCCTGTCAGAGTATTGGCGGCGATACAAAATGTGCCGTCACAACAGCCGCAGGAACATTCAAGCCAGTCAGCAGCTGTGTGTCGTAGAGTTCTGCACTGCGAGAAGATATGAAGGGAATCGAAAATGCAAAAGGGCACTTTTTGATAAAACTGAGATTGTAGCAACAATGAATAGAACTTTTCGATCTGCATTTAAAAATAAAAAATAGAATAAATTTGGCGAAAATTTGGGGATCTAGGACTTCTATGAGGAAATTTATCCACCCAAATTTTGACAATTTTCAAAAAATGAACTATGACTGAAATGAATAAAATCGCTGAGAGGTATTAGATAGTAATTTCACAATTTGCCTCCTTCCACATTGACTGCGTCTTTCTAATAAAAATTTCTAAATGTCTACACTATTAAAGTGTTGGATCAAAATAGCATGCATCCTTTTGGGATTTACATATATAATGGTGAAAAAAGTCTGCATCAAGTAAGCACAAACACATTTTTCTACCTAGAAAATCCGGAAAATAATATTGACTTTAGCTTATCAGACGTTTTCAGGTTTCATTCACTGCTTCTAATTTGTGCTTTGAACTTTAGCTCGAAAAATTTATCTTGCCTATAAAAATTACATTTTCCGGTTCTTTGAGATTTGGAGGAAATAGTATCTTTGCACTCTTTTGATCCTGTTTTCTTCAGATGGAATACTTCATCAAATTTTGTGCAATGGGCCTGTTGCATGCAAGAGATACAGCCGCGCGAATAGACTTTTAAGGGGTTAAATGACACGAAAAGTACGATGGTCTCATTAAAAAGGTCTGAAATACACTCCTTACTGCGCAATTTGCGTTGTTAGGAACACGCTTTTTCAAATTTGCCGCGTCTGGGGGCAGTTTTCTGATCACCGGAAACGAGCAAACGGCGGGCTCGGTGATTTCCGGAAGATGCCGAGTCGTTGTTGTTGTTGTTATTTTTTCCTTCAGTTTGTTTACAAACCCAACGTGATCTCTTATAGTGGTCCATGTACGCTTTATGTGGTAACGAAATCGATCAACTTTTAAATATCCAACGCAATCCTTCTACATTTCATTTCACGATATCACGAGCTCCGATTTTTAGGTTATGTTGTCAGTTTTAGTTGACCGGAAATAGCCGCGAGTTGCCGTTAGAAAACTGCCCCCAGACGCGGGAAATTTGAAAAAGCGCGTTCCTGACAACGCAAATTGCGCAGTAAGGAGTGTATTTCAGACTTTTTTAATGTGACCATCGTAATTTTCGTGTCATTTAACCTCTTAAAAGTCTATTCGCACGGCTGTATCTCTTGCATGCAACAGGCCCATTGTTGAATATATGTATACTGGTGGTTGTCTATGAGAAAAGGGACCTCAGTCCACCGAGGGAATAAATTTGACCGATCAATTTTCATGACGTTAAATAGAAAAATCTAGTACGACCAAAATTCTTTCCAGCGTCCCAGAAAATAGGTAAGTTGCAACTTAAAGTTGCATTAAAACCTGGCAGCTTGGTGCCCTGAGCATGAGCATGTTAGATTAGAATTGCAAATGGCTTTTACTTGTAAATTGAATTTTCCCAGTTGAAACTGCAAAATGCCATAACTCCGGGTTGATTTGATTTTTGGGATTGTTTTTGTTTTTGTCCTAAAATCATAACACACTCCTTCATGTTCTAATATCAATAATTCTAATTTCAGTTTATATAAGGGCTAGATTCCCCTTTCTCGAACACGGCGGTCGCACATGGGTAAAATATATGAGTACCTAAAATGCAGGCAAAAGAGCAAAAGGACTTCTTCGCATTGCCGTTGCAAAGTTTTATCTATGACGGCTTAGTTTTCATCGATTGAAGGGTTCATATTTAGCATCCAAATTTCAAGGAATTTTCTTGAAAGTTGAAAATAATAAAGAGAGAATTTTTTATTATTCCCAAGTAATTAAATAAACCGCCGAAGCACATTATGCAGCGCTGCGATATCGATAGACAAGGTGCGAATTTAAGGATTCTTATACATTTTTCTTCACCAAAATTTCACGTAGAACACTATTCTTGCATCAAAAATCACCGAAATAATTTCCTATCTAAGATATTGACGTTTTTATCTTACATTGGTTAAGGGAAATTTGAATTGTCCGATCACACGAAACTCAATACTCTACGTGAGTCCAATCACGTACTACAGCGGTTTTGGCAGGCTTCTCAATCAAACATTGTTCATTTCTCACCCTTTATGAATAAAAGTGTAAGCAATTTGCTGTAGCTGAGCCAAAGCGTCAAAATTGAGGTTGCCATATTTTCGTACCGCAGAGACTGCCACGGTAACATATTTAGTTTGCAATCTGACTCACGTAGACCATTGAGTTTTCATGAGAGGGAGGTTTGAATTCATTCACCGAGAAACATTAAATATCTTGGTTAGGAGTCAGTTTCAGGGCCGGATTAAGGGGGTGGCCACATGAGCCGCGGCCCATGGCAGCAAATCCATAGGGGGCGGCAAATTTTGCAATTTTTTTAAATGTAGGTATTAAAAAAAATTCGGATTTAGAAAAAAAAATTACAAACGAGAATTGGCGACAAAATCTCTAATTTTCTGAGAGTATGGTAATTTCTACTTTTGTCGTCTTTCAGTGATACAAGAGACAGCACCTTTACTTAGTCGAGTTAAGAGAGAAACCAAACACACAATTTGGCCTGGAACGGCGCGACTTATTGTTAGAGAGAAATGATAACGAGGACTTGAGATGAGAAGGAGAAACCCTCGGCGCGGCGATCGGCATGTAACACATATTAGTGCCTGCAAGACTGCACGAATACTTCACGTATTGCATCAAACACGGTGCAGTCATTGCGGACAGCGTGAAACGGATAGCGCCTATAAGAATGCATGAATACCTCACGCATTGCGGCAAACACAGTGCGATCAGCGGGAGACGCATAGCGCCTTCAAGACTGCGCGAATACTTCACGCACTGCGTCAAACACAGTGCGGTCTGCGAGGCGCGGCGGCAGAAGTTAAAATCATTAATCCACATTTATGTTCGTTCTTTCATAATTTTTTCGTTCATTTCTTGTGAATGGAAGGCCTTGTCCACACAGAGATAGGTTTACGAAACTTAACTTTCGCGCAAAGTTCCGTGAACTTTTGCTAGTAGTGTTGACAGGGCTTTCCCAAAAAATGTGTTCAACACCAGGAAACGCATCTTATGCACCCCTCCCCCGCTGGCACGTTCATTTGATGGTTTTCACTGATGTTTCAAAACGAATGAGAAGGGTGCGGCAAAATACTAGCGGCCCATGGGCGGCAAGTAGGTAAATCCGGCCCTGGTCAGATTCAGTAATTTTCGTTGCGCAAATCGTGTTCTAAGTTAAATTTTGATTAAGAGGCATGTATCAGAATACTTAACTTCATACCTTAACTAGTGGTCCATTCAACAAACATGAAGGGACATGGAGAGGGAGACAACCTTTGTTTCTGACGACAATCTCCCTCTCGTCAGCTCTGTTGATGGCAACGCGTGAAAGCGATGCAATGCTGTTTAGCTGTCTAAGAAATTGCGTGCGTAAAAAATGAAGGCACTTGGTTTTTGCCTTTCATTCAAAACCTTATTCAGGCTGATTTAAAAAGTGTGAATTCAGAACCTCTCAGACTGTCGAATCTTTTAAATCCCATGCAATTTCATCACTCGCGAAAAAGGCGACGTTCTCTATCGATAGAATAGCCATTAAAATTCGCTGAAATTGTAGTTCTTGCACATTAAAATCGAGTTTCTTTTTCTACCGACGATATTGCCGTACCTAAATCGATATCGATTTTGAAAACGTCGAGGTTTTCTTTGTTTGATAAATTTGGTTTCGCCTAGTAAAATTGAAATTCTCTCCAAATATTGATTTTCCCGGAAAATTCACTTTTAGGCAAAGCTTGAAAATAACGGTCCAAACTTGATACTTTTCATGTCTATTCGAATAATACGGCCGAAGAAAGGAAAACAAATAAATAACAAGATTGATTTTATTTTTCTTGTACGAAACTTGGATTACATTATGCAATAAGGAACCATTATTTCTGGCTCATTTTAGAAACAACATATATGCCATTGGTTTCCCTATGAAGAAAGGTGCTTTTAAAGAAGAGCCAGAGATAGTGGTTCCTTATTGCAAAATGTCATCCACTTATGCAGGAAATCCTCCTCGGAAAAAATGGCCTATTAGACCTAAAAAAGGATTAAATGAGGAGAAAAGAAAAAAACCGCTATTACTGTATTAGACTTATTTACTACTAGGGGGCCCTGCCCCCTGACCGTTACGCGGCCCAACCCCCGGGAGGGCGCCTCGCGCCCTCAGGCCCGCTTCGCGGGCCCTATATGCATATGTATAGGCAAAAATGTTCTTCCATTTTAATACACCATTTTGTGTTCGAGCTGCATCGATTTCAACATTTTTGACGTAACTTTCAGATTTGTAAATGATGAGGAATAGCTGGATGTACACAATTTCACAGTCCACTTACTGGAGAAATTTCCATTTATTATGTTATTTTTAAATACTTAATTTTAAAAAAAATCGGATTTCGACCGTTAAGAGTTAATAATATTTGGTCCGTCCCGACGCGACGCAGCGCCTGCCTTCTCACTTTGTATCTGCTGTTTATCTGCTGTAAATATTAATAGAACTTCAGCAATCAAGTATATTGACCAATGCCACAAATCGAAGCCGGAAGAATGCAGGAAAAATTGAGTTAAACCTTATACCTTGGACCTTGAACCTTGAAACCTGAGCGATACACCGTTCCTCAACTCTTCGAATGAGGAACCCTTCACGAGCTTTTCCATTGTTTTATTGTTTATTCGAGTCACTCAGGTAGAATCCCACACCTTGACGTTTCTAGCGGAAACGACATATCTCTCACGCTATTAACATTGGACTTAAGTGACATGAGCTTAAAAGCTCTACAACATTAAAAGTTCGGGGTTTCATGATTTTTCGCACATCTACATCTACTACAGATGACATACATGTAAAGATCATCCTTATCGGTCCGGCAGTTCGTCAGAAATAGTGCTTCCAAGATTTTGCTTATAGCTGTATAATATAGATTGAATTCTTCAGAATTAATCAACCACCTACCTGAATACATTATTTTAGTCTCTATCGACTTACTTAAGTTTGAAAAAAATACGTAAATAAATCAAAAAGAAAATTGAAAAATGACTGAGCATGCATACCGAAAATGATTCTAAAGAGGAAGATGAAGGAAGAAACTAACCCATAGGACAACTTTCAGTTGGAATAAAGTTTCGTTTCAAATCTTTACAGAGTCAATGGTCAGTAATATTTCATCTTTTGGGTGTTTGATAAATGAGCATAATAGGACTAAAATAAACTTTACATAAATCACCACGCGCACTGCAGACGTCAAGTGTCTTATCTTGTCGCTTATCAGACACAGTCAAGATCCGTTTGAAGTAAAATGCCAAATTAACCTCACAGTCTTTCCTTCGGATTTGAATTTTTAAGAATGTTAGGTATTTGAAAGTTGTCCTGACGCTCATGCTGTATAGATACGTATATTTTTTACGAGAAAAAATTAACTTCTCCCTGTCCCTTATTTGTGTTCGGGAAATTTAATTTACATTGGAGGGGAGTGCGAGTATTAACACACCAAGTTGCGTAGTCTCGTAGGTAGTGGCGAGCAGGTAAGAGTCTTCAGATCAGTGGCGTAGCGTGAATTGCGACGTATCGATTAATGTGCTATTTAAGCTTACGGGAAAGAGTCGATTATTGACGTGTTCGCTGCGAATACCCTGTTTATCGACCATTTTCCATAAGTTTAAATGACAGATCAATCGATACATCGCAAAGCTTGCCACGCCACTGGTCTCCAGATGTCTAAACGTAAGTGCCAGCAGAAAATTGCTCTCGTTTCTTAGGGAAAAAATGAAATGAGGGAATGAAATTATTCATCAAATTATTTTCAAAAATTGTTCCAAAAGTTGGAAATCAGAAAATCCACGAAAACCTGAAATTTATTGACCAATCAGAGAGTGGCAACTTGTTTTGTGGTAAAAGGATTAAGATGGCAATAATATCACTACTTAAGTACCACGTTATTTGGGTTCTACAACTAACGGTAGCCCAGCCCCTATGCATTTTTGAAGAAGTGAGAAGAGCGCGAAATCGCCTTCAATTTTGAAAGTGCAACACGCACATCCGTGGAACACGAAGAGTTGTATCAAGGCGCCACAACTACTTTGCCGTGCTAAGGAAAAACGCCGTATGAACCTTCAGGCGTTGCCAAATTTCCTTTGGCAACTCGCTAATTTATAGAAATACTTCTGAATATTTTTCTGCCAATTTCTCGCATAATTTTGCTTGTGACTTGATCCAAATTGTCTGAAAATGTCAAGGAAAAATATCCATAACTTTCCTCATAAATAAACATTTTAAGGAAAGAATTTTGCAACTCTCGAATGTTTATGCGACGTTCTCCCTCAGCCCGGCAATACTCCGGTCGAGGCCTCGTGAGTCTAGAAAATCACAGATTTGAATCGTTATTTTAAACAAGATTTAAGGGCCAGAAATTATGTTCCGAACAAAAAACATTGAAGGCGTTTTAACCGATCTATTTTAATCTCAGAGATCAGAAATATTAAAGCATTAGGTGATTAATTAATCACATTCTCGTGAAATCTACGATTTAAATAGGTCGATTATTACAGTTTCTGAGGTTTTTCTCGTGTTTTTATTTCTGACTTATGTCTTCCAAAGACTGACCGATTAAATTATATTGGCCTCAGTTATTCTGGCATTGTACCACCAATTTGTAATACTATCTCATTATATGGGTCTTTCGTTATTAGAGTGCAACAACTGGCGAACCCGTGCGTCCTTGAAAAAGTGAGAAAAAACCAAAAGTGCCTTCAATTTTGGAAATGCAACACGTGCATCCGTGGGACACGTTTGAAGAGATGAGGCGAGGCATATTTGGATGGAAAACGGCTCTTGTCAATTTTCGCGGTCAGCTGTAGGGTACCCTGGTAAAAATTGGCGATAGGAGCTACGTTTCAAAATACCATATAGGAGTTCTTATAGCCGACTAAAGAAGGCTATTGAAAATCATATAGCTGGCTGTAGAAAGCGGAGCAAATCATATAGCCGGGCTATACGAAGCTATAAAAAAGTATACAGTCGGGCTATAGTTCCTACAGCCGGGCTTTACACTTTATCGCCATTGTCTATAAAAGGCTAAAAGACATTGTGAAGAAATTCGTGTGCTATGGAAATCATTAATTTTGATACGGAACTACCTTAATATTTACAAAACACACATTATATTTTCCTTTAAAACATATTTTTTTTCATCAATTAAAATATAGTCCATACAGAGTGTGCAAACATTTCAAAATCATGAGTTGAAAAACGCTGACTTCGCGAGATTAAATATTAGAGCCTAACACAAAGCGGAGCGGCGACGCACTGGCGCCTACAAACCTAACAAGGAAACTTCACGCATTGCGCAATGCGTGAAGTATTCCTGTTAGGTTTGTAGGCGCTAGTCCGCCCGCCCGCCGCGCCGTAGCGTGCCACGGCGTCTGAAGCAACTATTTCACACCAGAAGTATTGCACAGTATCATAAGAAATTGAAAGCGCTCCAACATATTAAGAATGACAGGCATCCTTCAAAAGTACGGAGCTTTCCTCGCAAAATAAATCAAGATAAGTACTACGGCACAAAAAGAGAGCGGTAGACTAAAAACTAACTAAGTCCTAGTATCCATATTTAGTAACGTTTAGCATAAACTTTATCGTCTGGCTGTTGCTTAATCGTCATTGGCTATAAAAGGCTATAAGAAATTGTACAGCCGGCTGTACAGAAGCTATTGGAAATCTTACAGCCGGCTTTAGGTCTATAGTATTTTGGAACACACATTCTACTGCCAATTTTTACCAGGGGTTTCTCCAAGTAAACTTCTTGTAAACTTCAAAAATTAGAATGAAAAACTTCGGAAAATTCAAAATTCGATTGTAGGTAAGGTGATTTCTGAAAGTTTTTCATGCTGATTCACCTCGTGATTTGAGCAAGCCTCTAAGAGGAAAACTAAGGAGCTTTCTGTGGGATCCGACTGGCGGACACTCAAGATCCGCTACTTATCTCTCATTATCCCCCCTCCTTCCCGTCTTAACAAGTTTTCCCGCCCGACGAACGACGCCATCTGAACGCTGACTCACAATCAGATGTTGAATATTGACGGCAGGTAAACCGGTTCTTCCCATTTCTAAGTATCTCTCCCTGGATTCGACGGGCGACAATGGCTAAAGAGTTAATGCAATTTGTCGAAGGGAACGCATGGAGCAACGAGGTAGTGTTGGGGGCGCTTTTGCCGAAAGGGTGGTGGGTCCCGTTACCCCACACATGCAGAACATGGCTTCGGATATACACTGCTGGCACTATTGTATATTTAATGACCGGGATATTGTGGTGCACCTCCATTTACTACTCCCGATACTGCGGCCGTATTCCTAAAGGTTAGTCATCACTCATCATCATGAAATTTCTTTTAAAATCATAGTTACACAGGGTGATCCAGGGTTGAACGGCTAGACTGCAGGAACCGAAACACCCCCAAACCCCCTCTTTCAATTGAGCTTTCGATTTTTTTTAAAAGATCATTTAAGAATTGGAATGCATTTTGCAATTTGGAATTATAAATTCTGGCTCTTCTGGAAAAACACTTATGTGCATAAGGAAAATAATGGCACATACGTTATCTTTAAACCGGGCTAGAATTTATAATTCCAAATTGCAAAATGTGGTCCAATTCAAGGCATAAAAGTACAATGGAGTTCAAATTTTCTTGAGTTTTGGTTCACAACCGTTGCCAAAATTCAGGAAAAACGATTTACTTTCCGAATTTTTTTTTTGGGGGGGGCGTAGCTCTGACTGGGGGGCACTTTTGGAAAAAAAACTTAATACTTAACGAAAAATTTTAATTGGACCCATAGAACACGCTCCTGCAGTCTGGCCGTTTAACCCTGGACCACCCTGTATACAATAGGGTCTCGATTATCCGTGGATTATTTTGATGGCATTTTTTTTAATAAGTCACTACAATACTTCTAATACGATAAAATTTATGATAGAATATTTGAGATAATGTTTGCCAAAATAACTTTTTTTTCAGGTACCTAACTATTCATTTTCGACGAAATATGCATTCCTGTCTGATGTTCGATGGATTATTTTCAATTACAATTTTTCCAATAACTTCTCCCTAAATAGCTCAGTTTCGGATTACCGGCGAATTTTGCTTATCCGCGATTTTGATTATCCGCGAATTTTGATTATCCGCGGTGATTGGGATGGGAGCTATCGCAGATAATCATTGATGATTAACCATGCAGGAATCTCTTTGACTATCTAGCAGTCGCATTCTTAAGTAATAGTATGGAGAGTTCGTTACTTAGCATTTGCTGACAAATACTCCGTGGTTTGAGCTTGGGGTGCTGACAATTAGACTTATGTTTTATTTTAATTTCAGAGGCTGTTCCTTCCATCAGGTCTATGCTTATGCACATCAAAATTTCAATGCAGTCGTTGCCATTTTATAGTGGTTTGCCGACTTTGATAGAATATGTGGTTGAGAAAGGGTGGACCAAATGCTACGCAAAATTAGAGGAGGTCAGCTGGGCCACTTACATTGGCAACACAATCGCATATCTGATGATCATCGAATTTGGTATTTATTGGATGCATAGGTGGCTGCACACTGTCAAACCACTTTATACACACCTTCATGCATCGCATCACATCTATAGCTCTCCAGACACAATTTCCCCTTTTGCAGGTACTTGCTACTGAATTACTATTTGATACCTAGCAAATTTTCTGAACTAATGTTGAAAATGCCATAAATGTAAGAATGAAAATCTCTTAGGTTTTAATACACATCACCTCATTTCCTTACATGCTCTTGACCCTTCAAATCTTCATTTCTTGCCAGGGGTGTTTCTAGAGAGTTCCTGTCAAACGGTTTGGATTAGTTAAGCATTCTGTTCAGGTGATGCAAGAGGAGGACACAACTGTATAATCTTAAAATATCTATACTTGTGACGTTCCTTGGTAGTTCGTTTTTTATAGGGTTTGCAAAACTTGACTGCTGCATTTTTAATTTGGATCATTTTTAAAAGGACTGCGTTGGTTCTGTGCCCTAGGTCTTGCATTCCACCCTTTGGATGGCCTTATGCAGGCATTCCCGCATCTTCCTGCCTTATTTCTGGTACCAATGCACTTCCCAACTCATTTGGCACTTTTCTTCTTTGAGGCTCTGTGGACAGCTAACATCCATGACAATATCCACGGAAGAGTGTGGCCCATCATGGGGGCTGGTTACCATGGCCTCCATCACACAACACACCGCAACTGCAATTATGGTCATTACACGGTGTGCATGGACTGGCTGTTCGGAACACTCCACACCCCACCCGCTGACACCGATAAAATTAAAGGATTATCTGAATAGAAAAAAAGAGGGAAAAATGCAAAGGAATACCTACAAGACTTATGAGTGGAAACATGAGATAGGAAACTTAAAAGACTTCATCCTGATGATATGGATGGACTTTAGTATGCATCTGGGATGGAAAAATACTGATGTTCATCCAGACTGGATATATTAAGGGGCATATTTAACACATCATCCTCAATTTACGCTAGGACTTGTGTGTAGAAATGACCCCGAACTTATCCTCCATATGACTAAATTTAAGCTGAATTCATCTTTAAAATAGACGGGTTCTTTTGAGATAGGTGTCATGTGAATATTTCCAAAATGCTTAATGATGTCCATTTGTTTGTGAATGACTTCTACACTAACAATCTGAAGTTTAGCTTCAAATGAGTGGTTGAAGCCTTGAAAAAATGTGAAAGCGATGCTAATGGCTACATTACTGTTTTAATTGATGATGTAAAGAAAAAATGTTCGAGGAGATGAACTCAACTAAATATATTAAGAGGAAAATAGTATATTTATTAAAATGTGTAAAAAAATTAATAACAATGATCAACAATCACTTACCTGATAAAAAAAAGCAAAATGAAAAACTTAAAACCAGCACAAGCTGAGGTTATAAAAACAAATACACAGGTATTAACATTACAGATTTAATCCGTCATATGTTGAACAATTAAGAAAATATATGTATTGCGCTTGAAACAGCATTTTACTCTTGCATAAGCATAGATACAGGCTATCATTGCTTCTTATGAATTGATCAGGCTAATAAATAAGCAAAAAAAGAACTTTGAGCTTTTAAAATCATCATAGTAGGCTATTGAAAGGTAACCCAAGTATAATAAGGGTACTTTTGCCCCTAATTTGGCAGAATGGATAAGCTGTCACAGTATTCAGAGGGGATATATTGGCAACAATACAGTAAACTTGCACAGGTATGGTAAGGTAGAAATTTCAAAACTTGGCGATATTTTTTTATTGTATTATGATCTGAAATCGATTTTGAAATTCAATTTAATGTCCAAATCAACAAGGGCTGATGTTTATACAGTTACCTTCCTTGAAGTCAGATGCTCTGTAAGTGGAATTTTCCCTTAGGTCAAAATTTGTTAGGTCCCGATGAATTTTTCATGAGGGCAAAAAGCCCTCCATGTGAAAGTTTTCACTAAGTGGAACTAACGATCTAGTCCCTGTGCAGTTTGAATAGGAGAAAGTTAACTGCATCTGGTTGAAAATTAAGTTGGAGTTCTAGCTTTACAAAAGTAAAACAAATAAATTACCTTATACATACTTTATCTGCCATACACAGCAAAAACGTAGTGACTTCATTCCAGATGTGGCACATTTTTCTCAGACAAAATGTTCCACTACAAGAAAAGCTGCAAATGTCCATCCTTCATCTTTCAGAATAACTGCATTATAGCTAAGGTAATTTAAAATTTATATATGGAGGTGACAAGGCTTTCTTGGAATGGGCCTGTTGCATGCAAGAGATACAGCCGTGCGAATAGACTTTTTAGAAGTTGAATGACACGAAAATTACGATGGTTACATTAAAAAAGTCTGAAATACACTCCTTACTGCGCAATTTGCGTTGTTAGGAACGCGTTTTTTCAAATTTCCCGCGTCTGGGGGCAGTTTTCTGAAGGAAACAATTAACGGCAATTCGCGGCTATTTCCGCTTAACTAAAACGGACAATATAACCTAAAAATCGGAGCTCGTAATATCGTGAAATGAAATGTAGAAGGATTGCGTTGGATATTTAAAAGTTGATCGATTTGGTTACCGCATAAAGCGTATATGGACCACTATAAGAGATCACGTTGGGTCTGTAAACAAACTGAAGGAAAAAATAACAACAACAACAACAACAACGAACCGGCATCTTCCGGAAATCACCAAGCTCGCCGTTTGCTCGTTTCCGGTGATTAGAAAACTGCCCCCAGATGCGGGAAATTTGAAAATGCACGTTCCTAACAACGCAAATTGCGCAGTAAGGAGTGTATTTCAGACTTTTTCAATGTGATCATCGTAATTTTCGTGTCATTTAAGCACTATAAAGTCTATTCGCGCGGCTGTATCTCTTGCATGCAACAGGCCCATTGAGCATTTTATTGGAAAAATAATTTTAACAACTGGAGTGGAGTCGCAGCACTGTTGCTGTGGGTGGCAGTTATATACACTTTGAACCAGCGGGTAATAAAGTAAGTTAGGCAGGAGCATTATTAAATTGGCAAAACTACACATGCTCCTGTGCTAAATGTGCTGAGAATTTTAAATGATATTCAATGTCAAATGCACTTGGAAATAGAATGGAAAGAAAATAAAGAGGAGAAAAAAACAACCTATCATTAAAGCGCCATGATTTGAACTCTGCAGTTTAGAGGAACTATGCACAACCTCAATTTATGAAATACGTTCCTTTAAAAAGTATCTGAACAGAATACTGTTGAATTAACAGATATTTTTGATTTACAAAAATATAATTGGTTTATAAAGGTTGAAAGTGATCAAATGGAATGTTGTCGTTAGTTCAGTGTTTGACACCCACTGCAATTAAATCACACACAGTTTGGCTTCAGTGGTAGACACAGATTATAGAAAGTATTTTTTTGCCAAAAGCTGATCGGTTTCCACCCGACCCACCCATTATCTTGGATGGTTTTGAGATCCTCGCTCCCAACGTAGTGCGGATCAACAATTAATAATTTGATGTTACCTGTTTGATTGTTGAAATGCACTCCAATGATTGTGTGAGCTAGAACTCCGCCTCCTGTAAGAAAAATACAATTAAGTAAATAAATAATCGGTAGAAGTAGATGAAAAAATGTATCATGGTATGATTGTGTTCTCAAGCTTGAGCATGTCGGGCGAAAGCAGGAGATGTAACTGATTAGGTGGTAAAACTATGCACGCAATTTCCTAGAAGACTCATGACTTTTAATTTCTAAGTTTCATTTGAACCATGCAGATCATATTCATCCTTGCCCTCAGCATTGTTTTGGTGGTAAATAGCTCCAGTTGTTGTTTATTGAGCGTTTTTTAAGGAGATTCTAAGTAATAAAAATAAGGAGGTGATGCGCCACTGCATTGAGCTACTGTACAGTATGCGTCTTTGAGGGGCAATAATTATTATAGATTGTGATTTAATGCAAAAAGCTGATCAATAATGTGTAGCAACGTTACTGCTAAGTGGTATGAAATCAGATTTGTGAAAATTCATAGATCATACTACCCTAGCGGATGTTGCACATTGACTCAATGAGTAAGAGAGAGAGAGCCTTATTATATATCTCTCTTACACATGGAGTCGATGAGCAACATTCATTATGGCAGTTTCTGATTTGAAGTTTCAATGAATTTTAAAAAATTTGATGCCATACTACTCAATGTTAGTGACAGATCAGTAATAAACGAGGAGACAAGAATAATTTCAATTCAATTCAATCCAATCAATTTCGAAACTTAAATCAATGTCCCAGAATCAAAAGAGTGATCAACGTACCTATCATAATAGGCGTGCCTTGAGTTTTAAAGTGGTAGATCAATTCACTTCCTCTCTCCGACAGCTCTTCTCCTGAGTTGATGGCAATGATCCTACTAGTGACACCCAGCATAGATTCTAGACAATACAAAATTTCTGTGGACCCAATCCACTGCCTTGAACCAATGAAAGTCCGCGGTTTGTCTCCTATGTCAACCAGGCATTTTTGGATCTCTTCGTGCGTTGGAACAGGATGGTTTGTAAAACCTTGCAACCTGAAACAGAAGGCAACAAAGGTATAATTTAAAATTCTGAAAACAAATTCAGACTGATGTGCTGCATGATCAAAAAAAGTACTGTGTATGTACTGCCAATTGAGACAGTCTTTCTTCAAGTCAACTCTAATATGACAAATTATGATCCTTACTTTTTCCACATTATGAGCATTCTCGGCAAATATTTGTTTGTTTTACCACCAAAAACAGCCAATTTCTCACAACGGTCACCTCTGTCTTCAATGATGGAAGCCATTAAAACCCAAAAATTTGCCAAAAACAACAACTATGGTTTAAAATCTTTTGATATCACATTCACACCTAATTTTTAGAACCTCAAAAAAGCAGTTCCATCTCCTTTTATTGAAATTTGTGAGTTTTACTTTTGAAAGATAACAAATACAGGATTAGGGTGACTAAAAACTCATTACTACAGCTTCGGTCATCAATGTCAAAGACCCAATTTTACCGAAGCCTACTATCAAATCTTTCAATGCCACCGCTGGAACCTGATTTTTAAAACCTTAAAAATCATATAGAGTATTACAACCTTGAAACAAAGTGGCCTCAAATGGGGACTTTCTTTTACAAGCACCCGGGTTGCTACTGGGACAGAGCATGATTTTATTTTGTTTCCACACACATCTTTTCTTTCAACTGGATACTTTCAATTGCGAACTGAGGGTATCAAAGGATAAGGCTGGAAATCCAGAAAAATAAATATGACTCGTACAAATGATGTAATTTATTGGCTGATGAATTGACCGTTCTAGATATATTAATAATAAATTCATACCTAAACCAAGAAACTATGAGCTGCAAAGATCGGTACGCACAACCCCATCCATTGTCATTGATTTCATCTTGCATATAATGGTGGTACGTATACTTTCCATGAATTAATGCAACTTCGCCTGATTTCACTGAGATTCATTCAAAAAGACAAAATACATTAGTAATAGGGCATTTTTTAATGACAAAATTTTCATACAAATAGAAAAAAAAGTCAGTTTCAAAATTTCAATAAATTCAAGAACCGCTGGAAAGAGTGCTTCCAGGCAAGGAGACGCCTATTCATAACATTAGACTTCAAGTGGTGAATGGGTCTCTCTGCTATCACCATACTCTAACGCTCAAAATTAGAGGAAAAAAAGTACTAAGTACATATCGTGACGTTCTGGCCAAAGTATCACAAGCGCCACGCGACATTTCAAAATTTCTGCCGCCATTCTATTTTTACAGAGGAATTTTTGGTTGAATCTGCTTGAAAATTTCACTGAACTTTATCAGCAAAACAAAGAAAATTCAGCGAAATTTTCAGATAGCTACGTTGAAAAATTTCTCTATAAAAAAATAAATAGCGGCTGAAATTTTTAAACGTCGCATGGGGCTTATGATACTTTTGCCGGAAGGAGACGATATATTGGTTATGTATTGTGCGTAATTTCTGATAGGTAAATAGGCTGACTAAATACTTTTTATTTTTCTTTACTCCTTTTTAATACTCAACATAAATAAGGACTTAATTTTTTTTCATTCCTTAAAAAAAATGTCACACATTCATTCCTTTTCCTCTTATTTATTACTTGATTTCAAGAATACTAAAACCTTAAAAAAATAGATAATCTACCTCCAGATGATGCAAGCCCTTCATGAGGGTTAACTAGAAGCGAATTGAAGGATTTCTCTTTCTTCTCAAACTGATGAGCATTCCCACGCCTGAAGAACGGTTGGTTCGTTGGAAGGCCTAATAGTTTATGAAGTGACTCACGATAATTTTCTGAAATAAATAAGCAATTATACATGAGAATAGATGAATTAGCCCTGGCAACATTGTGACATTGTAAAAAAAAAATCTGTAAAGATCTTTTTAACTTCTGAGCTTGACATTTCTTTTTCTTTTCCAGTTTTAATGTTTTTTGGAAGAATTGACCTACATATTTCAATTTAAGAAAAGCCTCTATTCAAATGACACAATCGAAAAGAAAAATTCAGTGATCCTGGCTATATCACCCAGGAGAGTATGAGTTTTTAAAGTTCCAAAATCCTCTTCTAACAATTGCGAATGAAAAAAATAGCCTCCCTTTGATGCCTGTAAACGACAAAAAGCAGCTACAATTCTTTGTAACTAGGGTCTACAAATGCTTTTACACTAACGAGGGAACATTTCCATAAGGGTTTGTAAACAATCCTGGGGGAACACTTCAAAATATAAAGAGTAAAAATAACTTAAAATAGGACTAAGACCGCAAAAATAAACATAAAAAACTGGAATGTTTTGCAACAAAATTACAAATGCATTTTCAACAGGATGATAAAAAGAAAAATTAAACAAAGAGTATTTGTTTCTCTCTGTTTAATTTATTGAATTTTTTTTTCTTTTCATTTCCCTGTTGATGCACTTGTAAACCTTCCGAACCTCTCAACACCTTTCATCTCACTCATTTTAGACGTTTGCAAGTAAGCCAATTAGATAAGTGCAAAATACAAATTAATAAATGAATGAAAAAAAAAAAATAAAAAAAAATAAATAAAAAAAATAAAAAAAAAAAAAAAAAAAAAAAAAAAAAAAAAAAAAAAAAAAAAAAAAAAACCAGCAACTATTTATTAAACTTAGAGAATGGATATTTCTGAAATAGTTGCACTCTACTTGGTATTTATCTGAAGTTTGGAAGAAAATGGGGAACATAATTTAAAAACCCTAAATCAGAATGACTATGATTAGACTGCATTCTTGACGAAAAAAACACAAAATGTGACACAACCATACTTACTTAGAGTGTCTTCAAGCACTTTTTCAGGGTACACAAGAGTAAAGAAGTGAGAGAGTTGATTGAGCGAATAATGATGCGTCACAGGGGCACTGGAGGAATTACGCAGAAGAGCTTGTTCGATTAAAGTGAGAGATCGACTAATACTGTCCACGAGAATATTTGATAAGTGTTGGAGCTTTTTCTTTGTATGCACCATTGATAGAGCATCAATGTCTAACCAAATTTCCAGACAGTCACTTTCATCTGTTGAGATAAAATGACATATTTTTAGAGAGGCCATTAAAAGTACTATTGAGTAAACATTCGTTTTCAGAAAAAAATTTCGAACTGCATGCTCGATGCATTGAACACAAGGAAACTATTATCGACGGTGAAACTGCTAAACCACGTATCTCGTTTGCAGTGTTTAAAAATACACGCTTACACTTTATTTTTTTGAAGTAGACCAAATCAATATCATTCCTTGAAATTTTCACAGAACTTTCTTCCCACGAAGAGGAAAAATCACAGAAATTTTCAAGACTGGACGTTAGGTAGTTTTTCATTTAAAAAATAAAGTATGACAGGAAGTCTGCGACGTCGCAAACCGAGATACAAGGGTTTGGAAGTTTCACCGTCGTTATGTTTTTGACTCATACTTAAAAGCAACTTAACTATTCTGAGAAATTAATGTTTTTAATTTCATTTGTTTCAAAAACAAGTGTTAAAGTGCCTTGTTTAAATCTTACCAAAAGGTCCTTTGTTTCGTCGGTGCCGGAACTGTAATCGTTGATTTCATCCATGAGCAATAAAATACATGAACATGAACAATAAATAGAACATTGTTGATACTAAAAAAAAAAAAAAATTAACACTTATGCCTTAACTTACGTTTGGTTTGACAAACAGTGGGTGGATTAGATGGATGATTTTCATTGTCCTCTTCACTTTTGGTGGACCTTAAATACATTTTGGCAGTTAGTAATCCCTGAAAGCAAGAAAAAAATTGAATTTAATAAAAAAAATATCAGATACTCAGATAGAGATATGTGACTAGCCACAGGAGGAGGGACTTGAATCCATGGAAGCAGCATTTCAGTGGATCAATTCGTCGTCTCCCTCATGGAGGAACATATCATGTTTGAGCTGTTTCAGTTGTTGAACAATTTATTTTTTCCTGGAAGAACTGTAGCACGAACTTTTTAAAAAAGATTTTCGTGTCTTTACTTACAAAAATGAAGAATTACCATTGGACATGGCAAATTCATGAGATGCTTTCCCCGCGAGAAAAATAAAATGTTGGGAACAAATACTGAACCAACGCAATCGAGATACCTTCCTTTGTTTGGGAAACAAGCAAATTTCATTAAGTAAAGTCGAAAAATTTGATGGACAATAATATGTTCTGCCAGAAAACTCTATGGTATCCTCAGGTGAAAATTGTAGGCAGTTAAATGTGCTAATTTATACAAAATTGCCAAGGATTTAGATACAACTATGTTCGACATCAAAAACGCATGGCATACTCATAGAAACAAGTATCTCAACTGCCACTTTCTGACATTTCTTTAAACTCGGACAGGATTAGTGGAAATATAAGTACAAAATGTACAGAAATTATTCTAGATGATGCAAAAAGAACACACAATTTTTTTTTGCGATAGAGAAGATCATAAATTTGTTGAAAAATAAAATAGTGTTGGGTGACCAATAAAATTCCAGATCAAGATGCACCAATTTAGATTTCATCCTTGCACCATTCATGGAGTTGGATTATTGTTAATGGCTTATGCCCATGTAGAATTTTTGATTTATCATTAATTGATAATGGTCTTACGAAGAGAGGAAAAAATAAAACTAGAAAGTAATTATAAAAAGATTTAATTACTGTATTTGAAGGAGGTGCTGCTTTTCCTTTCTTTTTTGAGCTTGTACTACCCTCTTCAGTTTTATGTACCGATACAATGTCAGCTGCAGTTGAGCTTCCGCTTAAATTGGAGTCAAGGTAAGTATCACTTAAAAACACATTTTGGTCGGGGAAGTTAAACATCAGACTATCGGAGGAAATCTGCAACACACAAAAAAACCCTGATAACGTCAAATCATAAGGAGAAACTACAGAGTTAAGGGTTAAAAGTTCATGAATAATACTCTCAATAAAATTTATTTTTTCATGTGGCCAATGCTGCATACCTAGATGGTGCACTGACTTCATCTCAAAATGTTTGGTATCACTAGAGCGACCAATCTTCATTTCAGAATAGACTTCTGTGTTGTACTTTAATTGAAAGTTTTTGAGTGGAGGAAACCTGATTAAGTAACTTAATGTGAATCAAAATATCAAAATTTCGGTATTTCTGGGACTTTTCTATAAGTGATATTGTATAAATAAAAAAAAAAAAAAAAAAAAAAAAAAAAAAAAAAAAAAAAAACTGGTACATCAAGCATAATGCTAAGCCGACAAGAAATACCAGGGAGTCTATTAAAGTGGCTGACAAAAATCCGATACTTTTACAGCACTTTTTCAGTACTTTCCTGAAAATTTTAGGACCACCTAAACAGAAAAAGTTAGTACTTATTCAGTACCTACCTCTAAATAGCGGAATTTGCATAAGTAATTTCGAAATTTACCCGAATCATGACAAAAAATGACTCATCCGTGAAATTTGAGGCTCATTGTTGCCCTGAACATGCACTAGCTGCACAATAGAAATTTAGCACATACTGAATGAATAATCAATCCGCAACGGACTACATACATTACAGGCTGTCTAGGGAAACATGAGTGGTATGAAGCAAAAAATTCCAGACCTTCTTGCGGAATTTCCTTGCTTTTTCAGTAATTCCCGGACCACCTCTTGAAAATCAGTCCTCTTTCCAGATTAGTGGACACCCTGATATAAAGAACAAAGCAACAATAAGCAAGAGATCACCTTTTTCTGAAGATCAGCCATTCGGTCATTAATGGACTGTTCTTTACTTCCACAAGTCAATGGCAACTTGGAGCAGAGCCTGATGGTTAAAAACTGGTTTTTTATTTCCTTCTCCGACAGAATTTTATAGTTAACAGGATTCAGAATTTTACTTGCACAACAGTACAAACTGATGGTTGATGGACCAGAAGTGCTGACATTGACAACAGCGACAAATGGTGAGTCTGTGATAGAGACGTCCTGGAACAGTCAAAAAGTTTTCAAATTACAGTTGTGTCTCCTTTAAATGTTTCTCAAAATAATGTTTTTCTAGAGACAACTTTCGTTTCTTTAAATCTTAGTCAGTCGCCTCTCCTTACAGCATATCTTGAAATGATGTATATCCAGAAACAATGTTCATTCTACTTTTATTTCCCCTTCAAAAATGTTAGAACAAGACACTAATGTGCTTAAAATATTGATCAAAACAAAAAGAGAAAATCAATTCAATTTTATGTTTTACATCATTTGTACTTTATTTTATTTTAAAACATACTTAAATAATTTTTCTAAAAAATTAGTGGTGCCAGATTTTAGATTCTGAATTTTACAGAGCTAAGGTAACTTTCTCCGTAAATTTTTGCTGATATAAAAAATGAATTCTATAAACATACCTCTACTGCTTTGGCCACAAAAGAAGCTTGATCATTCTCGATACTTGCATCTGACTGAAAAGAAACCAACCCACAGTAGTCAATTTCAGCGGGATAGTGTGGTTGAGAGGATCCGAAATTGTTTTTGCTGCTCCCATCATCATTTCTGCTGTATTCCTCAAAACTTAATCCGAGAATAAGAGCTGAATTGTCATAAAATATGCCATACAAAGATCCCACACCATTGGTTTTGACAAATTTTAGCCTCTGAAAATGAGATACAAGTACTTATGTAGAGTGTTATTCCAAGTAAGAGTTAAAAATGATGACTTACTTACAGTGACTAACAATAAAGTTTGCCAACAGAGGATTCAATTGACTCACTTTGTCAATTTCATGATGAGATATGGATGTTGGAAGAAATAGGCTATCTGTATGAAGAGACTGATAGATTTTTCGGCTGCTGTAAGGCTTAATAACTGTAATATCGTGTGGCAGGGTAGAACTTAGCTCATTCCTACTAAACTTAATAAGTTGCTAAAGGCAAAAATGAGAGATAATTAATTCAAATAAAGTGTGAGGAAAGAGAGTAATAAGAAAGGTAAATGAGGAGTCAGTTTGGTCTTCACTTATTCTAATTTCTGACCAACTCCCTTTCAGAAAAACAATTCTGCCCCAGAACTTAAGTGCGATACCTACTAGAATAAGTAATTCTGATTTTAATTCTACCTCATCCTACAGCCCAGATGGCAAATAATATTCTCTGCACACGAGAGTAGGTGGAGAGATGGCATCATGTGAGAGGTTTATAGGTAGCATTGTAAAAAAGACTTTGTTTTGATTGCTGGAAACATTCGATCGTTACGTCCCAACACTTGAGCTAAAAGCAAGAAGGCAATTGGTAAATGACAATGAAACTTGCATCATTGCTGATGATGGACGTACGATAAGTTACAATAGGGGGCGAGGGCAACAGATCTTGACGGTGCAATTGAAGAGGAAAGGAGAAAGTACAAGACAAAAAAAATCATGAAAACGTCAGCGTCAAATTAAACTTCTTTAGAAGATTTATATAATAAAACTTACATCAATTAGTTTCTCCGATAGATAGGTCGTGGGAGGCATTACTGTTAAACTTTCAAAGCTAAAAATTCTGGATTTGAAGATGAATTTGATAGAAATGTGACTTAAAGTGACGAAAAATTCGCAAAAGAATACCAGATTTTACAAAAACTCAGGAAATTTGAACAAACATAACCTAAATACAATGTGTACATTTTTTACAAGTTTGTCAATTTTATAAACGTAAACTTTTTTTCCTCGGGCGCCGTAAAGGGGCGCCGCATGGAGTCATAACTCGTTTACAGGTTTACTTACGTCCACGGGACGCGGCATGCACGACTTAAAATTTTACTGTAAAATTTTATCAAAATTTTATTTTATCAATTTATATTTGAGCTAAAATTAATATTATTATATGGAAGTAGAAGTCAAGCCCAGTTAATCATGCATGGGAAGACTTGAGTTGTGTAGATAGCAACCTTGAACATGAAACACTGTTGTCAGGTTGAAACCAGTAAACTTTCAAACTAATTAATCATTAAAAAAGAAACGTGATTTATTATTTATTTCATTCATATTATTCAGATTCCCGCTCCAAATTTTACCGAAATTCTTAGTTTTCCCTTCTTCACCCTGCAGTATTTGAATAATTAAACCTTGAATATCTCTTTCGTGAAAATTTATCATAGCAATTTGACACCAGTGTTCAGAAACACGTTGCTTGCCGTTCCTGTCGGAGTCATTTTCTTGTAAACCTCTCTTCCACCTGGCAGTAGTTGATATTGGTAAGTTAATTTTAGTTTTTAACGTTCCTGAATAAGACTTTTACCTACCAAACTTTTTTCTTAACTCTCCTAAACCCATGATTTTATTTTTCCTCTCCCGTAATCATCTATTTGCCATTCTCGCGCCCCAAAGTTGGAACGCACGCGGACAGCGTAAGCCTAAATTTTGCCGTGTTATTATCGGCTTTGCACCCTTTCTGTCACTTCATCCGTCTGATAAACTACCACTAATTTAAATGATTGTCCAATTTCTCTCTATCACGTTTTGAAAACAAATGTATGCTGGTCTCAGGACATTCTCTACTTACGCAGAATGTTAGAATCTTGGCGAGCCACATTCCCAAGCCATCAAGTTGTTTCCCTCTCATACACACTCATTTTTGCTCAATCTATTTCTAGAACCTTTCATTTTAGGAGGGAATAATTGCACATTATCGCCTATCCCTCGTGTTCAAACATCCATCCAGCTCAAATGACTGACTCATTTTAATATTCTACATGTTTTTATATTCTAACCTCAAATCCACTATTCAATGCCTCTGTCCAACGGCCATATCCACCATTCATTAAGCTTGCCACTTTGTAATCTTCTCATAGCCAATTTAGATACCATTTTATGAGGTAAATTCGAGCGGTGGTCGTTATTTTATCCTATTTTGTTCACACTCAATGCTTCAACATTTCTTGAAGCTTCATGCGTAGAAACGATGCTGAGCAGACCTATCTGATGTTTGAACTTGAGCCAGTCTCCAATCCATTGTAAATCTGCGCTGCACGTCTAATTCACACATGCATTCCGATAGCACCATTGTTGAACGATGAAGTCTTGTTTAAATTATATTTGAGTCTGCTGTGTATCTGCACCATGACTAGATTGTTATCTGGGCCAAAAGCGCGCAGCCAAGTTTTGCCTCTATTGTTTTTCGTCCAATTTTCATTTGTCTGTTCCTATCGGTAAACACCTATCATATCCACCTAATTTGTCTTTACAATTTATTTTTTTTTAGGTGAACAATGGGTAGGGTTATCCGTTCACAGAGGAAGGGAGCAGGAAGTGTCTTCACAGCTCACACCCACCACCGTAAAGGACCAGCAAGGCTCCGAAATCTAGATTATGCTGAAAGGAGAGGTTACATCAAAGGTGTCATCAAGGTACATTGTTTTGCTTTTTACTTTGGGTGTTCGACCCCTTTTTGAACAATTTACTTTTTTCACATGCTTGCGTGATTCATTTTCTGTTATGTGTGCCAGAAGATAAGAAAAGTAAACCCAAATTAAGCAGGGTTTAGTAAAGTTATGCATGCAAGGGTGCATAAGTTGATGACCAAAGATAGCTAAAAACCTGTCAAAGGAAATCTGGTTGATTTCCACTGGCAGATGTTTGTGCCTATGTTGATCGCTGATTTGTAAACCTTAACATTTAAGAGCTGAAGATAGAGTGGCGAGCAGTTTACTTCATTTTTTTGACAATACAGAGTGTAGAAGCGTATGGAATCTAGCCTTACCAAAGGCAAATCCTGATTTTTAGATGCTTTTTTTTTAAATGACCATTTACGGATCCAGCAAATTGGTAATATTGATTTTTCTCCATTTAAACACATGAAAATGTATCGATTCTTGAAGGGGCCGGGTGTTCCAGCACGAATTGATCAATATTAAGGTTTTATTGGAGGAAAATATGTGTTGCCAAATTGCTGGATCCACCTTTGTTAATGACAAACCTCAAATAGCCCCAACTCAGTTATGTTTGGTATTCTTTGGTTTCTTGCACCCTATTATTCAAGAACACTCCTCTATGTTTTGGAATGATAAGCTCAATTTTGATTCTTTTTTGGACTAAGGTCCCTTTTCCTGTAGTCAAATGCGTTTTCTTTCCACTTTTTTACACTATTATTGCAAAGAGAGTATGTTGTAATTGCTCAACTATAAAAATCAGCAGGTATCCCATTTTAAATTATATGCTTTTACTCTGAAGCTCCCTTATGAAACAGGCACAGTCTTTTGATTAACCTTTGTCGCTATGTGGATTGTAGAAAGCCCATGAAGAATTTGTAAAACTCACCAATTTTTTCATTCCATTTTTTGTTTGTCTTTTTAGGACATCATTCATGACCCTGGTAGAGGTGCACCCCTTGCAGTAGTTCATTTCCGTGACCCATACAGATACAAGAGGAGGAAAGAATTGTTCATTGCTGCTGAAGGAATGTACACAGGACAGTTCGTCCATTGCGGTAGAAAAGGTACAATAATACATTTCTCAACACTTCATCGTGAATTACATCATGCTCTTTTAGGACTGGGGAATGAAAAGAAGAGACACATGTCACATCCCAAATTGCACCATTCAACAGATATTTACATGCTAACCAATGGGCCAACTGATGATTGATGCAACCTGACTGATGTGACTTTTGTCTTGTCTTTTCTTTCCCCAGTTCCAGAATACGTAATGTCTTAGCAATCTAGCGCAATTGATCATCTTGTTGGGGAAAAAAAGTTCACAAACTCTACCAGAGCTCACCGTGCAAATGTCTCAGTCAATGCATTTTTCCAACTTAAGTAAAACAAACATCAAAATTTCCTTTAAAATGCAACTTAGTAAGCAAGATAGTCAAAATGTTGGATGATAGACGTTCGTTAGTTTTTAATTGAAAAATTATGTCACGTGAGATAGCAGCTATTCCAGTATTGTGTGAGGCTATGGAATTTTGCCGAAGTGTCCAAACCAAATCATGCCTTTTAATCCCGTTTGCTCTGAGACCATATTTTGTTTTCTGAAGTGGCCTCACTGTTAATGCTATCTCATATGCTGTTTTTTAAATCTGCATAACAAATTTAAGAGGAAAATATTGAAATGGATCCATTTGCGCTAGAGTCCATTCATCTGAAACATCAACCCATTTGCATCCTTCTGCTGTAGAAGTAATTCATGAATGGAATTCAGTTAAACCTTTCTTTTATGATATTCTACAATGCCTTTGTTACTGATGCGTTTTACTGTTGTCGCTGTTGATTACTGATTTATATTTTATTTTTTTATTTAGCTAAACTCCAAATTGGAAATGTCATGCCCCTTGGACTCATGCCTGAGGGTACCATTATCTGTAATTTAGAAGAGAAAGCTGGCGACAGAGGTCGCTTAGCCCGAGCATCTGGTAACTACGCCACTGTTATCGCTCACAACCCCGACACAAAACGCACCAGGGTCAAGTTGCCCTCGGGAACGAAGAGGGTTCTCCCATCCAACAACAGAGCCATGGTTGGTAAGTATCCGTTTCATTTGAGTCTATCAGAAGAATACTCGCCTTGTATTATCAATGGATTGGATTATGAGCTCAAAATGACAACTCTCGGTTTTGTTAAGCTGTTTTCCTGGTAATTTTTTTTCTATCGGCTCTTCAGGATGGGTTTTCATCGTTTGCCATTAATGTTCCTGAACTTCCCAAAAGCTTTATCCAGACATCATACATTTGCCTTCCTCGTAAAATATAACCAGAAAATGGATGCATAGGTGGAACATACCTCTTTTCTTTATGGATATTTTTTGCCTCTAAAAATTTTAGTACAGTTTTCCAAGTATTTGACTAAGTTCATCCAGGTCCTTGATTTTGATTCCCTAAAACTCCTTAATTCTGATGGAAGAACTTATCTCTATTCTCTAATGATCAGAATTTCAAGTGGTTAAGTAAACAAACTTTAATTTGGATAATTAAACCATGAAATTCACTAGGAACTAGAGGGAAACTGAAGACCGGAAATTGATGTATGTTGCCGTATTGATGCAGGGGAGTTCTAAGTTTTGGATGTCTAGATAGTTTCCAGGAGAAATTTTTCCCTCTCAGTTCACACACGAAAGCATGGAGCACTATAAAGAATTCATGGAGTTAGGAAAATAATGTGAACCCTGAAAAACAAAAAAAAAACTTGCTTAAGATTCAGAGTCAATGTGATGCAACAATCTTCTGACAGTCGGCAGCTAGTGTAAGCTATGAATGTACTAAATTATTATTGTTTGACTTTTGCAGGTGTCATTGCTGGTGGTGGTCGTATTGACAAACCTATGTTGAAAGCTGGTAGAGCGTATCACAAATACAAGGCCAAGCGTAACTGCTGGCCCAAGGTTCGTGGTGTTGCTATGAACCCTGTTGAGCATCCTCACGGAGGAGGTAACCATCAACACATTGGTAAAGCTTCAACCGTCAGACGAGGAGCCAGTGCTGGTAGAAAGGTACGTGTTTGTTTTTGTTGTTTCAAACCCATGCTGTTTCTAGTTAAATTAAAAGACCTTGCACGAAATACCAAAAAATTTGGCTCAAGCCAAATTGTGATACATATTCATATGATGTTCCGTAGCACTATCAGCCTTTAAAATCCAACATTCTTTGCGCCTATGTCAAAGAAAAGCAAGGCTGACAAATGAAGTTTTTGGTATTTTTACGTACATATTATCCAGTAGAAATTTTGCAACATCTCAATGGTGAAAAAAAGGAGGGTTTTTTTTGCTGGCTGGGAAGATAAAATGGATGAAATACTTACATCTTATTCCGCTAAATGATAGCAACATGTTGCACTTTAAGCATCTATAGCAATGGTCCAATTTTTTCATCAAAAAAGCTCTGGAAGAGAGCCAAAAATTTGCCATTTGGCATCGCTTTTTGCGATAGTGGCACACTGGAAATTCAATTTAAAGGCCCATTATGTTCAGAAAGTCAAAAGGAATCATCATATCAAATGATGCTGCAATTATGCTGGCGCCAAATTTCTTGGTATTATGTGCATAATTCTTCAGGGTAACAAGGAAAGTTTAAGCACATAAAACTGTTATAATCTTACAACATTTTCATTTTAATTCATCAGCCCCCAACATGTATACCAGAGCAGAAGCGTATGTTGAGACAAATGTCAATCTCTGATTACCTCAGAATCAGCACCACTCAACAGGAATACCTGCAGTCAAATGGCGCCACTGATGAGTGGTGACGTACATAATACTTGACTTTTGTCTCAGCATACGATACTGCCGCTCTACGAAGGCTTTTAGAACCTCTCGTGGTTTATATATTAGACAAAATCAAACTTGGATGAAATGAAATTGGAAATTCATCTGAACTGCCGGTCGCTTGTTGACATTTTGTCATAGTTGTTCAGGGAGAATAAGATTAAGCTGTAATTAAAGTTATGTGATTGATCTGTTTGATTACTCAGTTTCTCTGTCGTACTTTCATTGGAGCGCGTAACTGTTCAGTTGTCCATCTCTGACAGAGATGCTGATTGTCAGTCAGTATCTAATCCATTGAAGACTTGCAACAGAATTCAGTGTTAAGTTCAACTAATTTGAGTCAAGTACATGCAAATCCAGCAAGTCACGACCCCAAAGAGTTGTAATGTCAGACTTGCTGTGGAAAAATATGAGGTGACAGAGTGGTGTGGTAGTGATTCGCACCAAATTTGAAGTCAGGTGGATACGGTCTTGAGCTTCTTGAGCACCGATTCGAGCGGAAAATTTTGAAAACCTGATTGATCAGATTCCAAGCCAGCAACAAGGAACTCGCTCGCGCATGAAATGGCAAACACATCTCTCACGTTTTAACTCTTCTTTGAGACTTCACACCAAACACACTGTATGAAGCTATCCCAGGATGTGGTTTAGTATCACTCAATTTCAGTAATCCTAGAAATTCTTAATTATTTTCAAATTTGCGTGCAGTATCAGGTTGAAAATTATTATTGTCCTTGGGTTATGAAAGAAATCAGTGGAGACCAATTTAGTCATGAGTATGTTGTGTATCAAAGCTGCTTTTGTATTTATTCTATTTGAATGATCTGCGGAAAATTAACTTCAACATTTCCTGTTACAGGTTGGTCTCATTGCTGCCAGGCGTACCGGAAGAATTCGGGGAGGAAAGGTCGAAAAGAAAGGAGACGAATAAACTGTTTACTGTTTATACACTATTTTTACTATTTAACAATAAATCCTTTTTTTTTATTTTCCAACTGTATTTCTCTCCATTTCTTTATCTATTTGTTCTGAACATTAAGTTGAGACCAAAATTTTGTGAGGAAGCTCAAAGTAGATGGCTTAATGCCGTGGTCATCCTAGAAGTTTCAAAAAAAGAACTGATATAAACCTAAGTGTAATCAAGTACTTACTAATTCTGTTGGCCGAAGGAAGGAATAAAAAAACCCACTATGATAAGAATCAGTCGTAAGATTCTGAACACAACTCTGTAGTGCTTACCTCTTTCCTGCCTCTTATTATGTTGTTTCATGCTCTCAAGAAGCAGGCATTTTAACTTCCATGTCTTATCTAAAGCTATCGTACGAAAATTAAATAAAAAAACCTAGCATTGGCTCATTAGTAGAAATTAAACGCTTCTGTATTCATGCAAATTGCTAATGTCAAGAGTTTTTTAGCACTTACTAAAGAACGCATTTGAATATCTGTAATTAATTGAGCCGTATTAAAAACAAAGGAGATTTATGAAACTTTAAGAAAAATGAAATATCAGTCATTTTAATGAAGAAAAGAAAAATATTGAATCTGAATTTTCTTATTAGAAAGTTAAACATTTGATCCTAAGTCGTTTGCCTCAACATCTCATAGAGTTTTTTATGATCTCGACTTTCTTGTAATTTTTCAAATTCATAATACGTTTTTCAAGATTATATAAGTAGCACATGACACCTCAATTCTAATTTTATATTGAAGGATGTCATATTTGCAAGCCAATGCCAGCTTAGTATGATCGCAGTCCAGGTCACTGCTCACCAGAGTGTGCGAGAGGTTTCTGCCATTTTAAGTTTGGTTTTTGGTGAGGAGCGAAACTGAAGAAAAAGCCTTGTTGGCGTATTTTGGTCTCCTCAGCAGCATTAAGGGACCATCTCCATTGACTGTTAGTCTGAACCAGCACATCATCCAACAAACGGTGGAAACTTTCTACGGCATCAGGAGTCACCACTAGTAACAAATCTCAACAAGAAATAAGAAAAAATAGAATATTTATTGAGGATTAATATGCCACTTATAGTTGTTGCACTGTTATGATACCTATGCTTTTGTGGCAAGCCCAATTCACATTTCATCCAACTTTTCCTGTAAAGTTCGATCATTTAATGGGAACTTTTTCCTATTTTCGTTACTTAGTTAAAATTTTCATCGAATAAAGTTGGATGAAAAGTTGAAACGTGAGAGTTGGGCTTCACAGGCACACAGTTAGGAACTACTTTCTTTTAACCCTTTATTGCATAGCGTTGCATGGAAGCAACAAATGGTTTTCAGCTTTATTTCTATGCTGGAGTATTAAATTGAATCAAAGCAAGAAATGATTTTTTGGGAGCATTATAAGTCTGATCTCCTAACTTTAAAAGAAACTACAAAGATCGATCCCAACTGACTCTACCGTCGAGAAAATACTGTATACCTAATATATGTAGATTTTCTGTCCAAAATCAGCTCATGCAACAAAGGGTTAAGATAGGTACTGACGTATCGACGGGGAAAGTCTGCAAGCATGGTACCTATCTCGTGTTCGGTGTTCGAAAATCTCCACTCTATTTTTTTTATTTTTAAAGTAGGCAATCTGACAGTTTACGTTGGTCATTCTTCAAAGTTAACGTAGAATTTTCTTTGCACAGAGAAGAGAAATTACGGAGATTTTAAGAATTGCTGTTGAGGAGTTTCCATTTTAAAAATACAGTATGACAGGAAGTTGGTAACTTCCCTTACTGAGGTGTGGTTGCGGACTATCACCATCGATAAGCATCATACTTTCTACAATCCTTTCTACTAAACATTATTTTGTACGTCATTCCAGAGGCGGTATCCCATGAAATAATATTGAAAATTCATGTATTCATGAGTATGTGCTATTTCTGCTACCATATCAAAAACTGTATGATTGTATATCAAGGTCAAAATCCGTGTTTCAGCGTAAAACTCCAAAAAACCCAAAAACTTGGGTAAAGAGACTCCGGGCAAGTCACCATCCTCTTGCCAAAAACCTCCAAAAGCTCTTCTTCGTTCCCCTCTCCGGGGGAAAAAAAATATCACTTTACGACAGCTTCCTAACAAAATGTCCAGGAGGTTACAGACAGGCTGCTAGCCCCTCATCGGACCAAAACGCACACCGTAGGTACCATTTTTTCCTTGTATGTGCCTTCAAAGTACATGAAATGACTCCTTGAGGGGCGGGCAAGTTTTATTGAAATTCACGTTGTCTTCTGAAAATGAGCTAAAATTTTTTCCTTGAAGAAGAAGAAAATCGAGTTATCATTGTTTTCCATACACGGTAGGTATGCCTATAAGAGGCACGAGGAACGCCTTCCAAAATTATTGATGCAACCCGCACGACTCCGAAGTCAGCGGGAACTTTCTTGCAGCGTCTCCTAAGATTTTCCCCCACGCAATAATCCCCTTCAAAAATGAATGATGCAACAAGCGCGTCCTGTATGACCGCGAAAGCTCCTCAGATGAGTAGTCTTTTGATCTGGTCAGAAAAATATTCAAACTTTATTTTTCGTCTTCTCCTCTCATTTCCCGCATTGACAGAGGCGAAATTTTTTGGAAAGCATGACGCGCCCGGCAACAATGCTCTCACTGAGGATCAACCTGTAGGTCAACCTGTAGGCTGGACACTGCAATTTGCGTCTACATCTCGCAGTATTTTTGAAGTTTCAAATCCTCCAATAAATCTGAGAAATTACTTTTTGCATTTCTGCCAACTTGTAAATCCACTGAAGAATCTGAAACATTCAATTGAGCACATCTGCAGTCGCTCTTAGCATCGTTTATGATGGAATGAAAAAGATCGTCCTTCACTGGGCTAGGTGCGACTCGTTTTCATGTTCGTCCAAATTTTCATTTTGTCACACTGCTGAAAAAGATTTAGGAGCAGATGTTCGAACTCACTCAGAATGAGGCCAATTACCGAACTGATAGTACGGGATCAGAATAGAAAAAGTCAATCACTACGAGAAGGCTTCATGGACTTTCAAAGAAACAGTACCGACTTTGTTGTACAAGTATTCCTTAACGATCATTCATAGTGGAAGGCCACATTCTATTCGCACTTTTTTTACGCATTGTTGCCGGGCGCGTCATGCTTTCCAAAAAATTTCGCCTCTGTCAATGCGGGAAATGAGAGGAGAAGACGAAAAATAAAGTTTGAATATTTTTCTGACCAGATCAAAAGACTACTCATCTGAGGAGCTTTCGCGGTCATACAGGACGCGCTTGTTGCATCATTCATTTTTGAAGGGGATTATTGCGTGGGGGAAAATCTTAGGAGACGCTGCAAGAAAGTTCCCGCTGACTTCGGAGTCGTGCGGGTTGCATCAATAATTTTGGAAGGCGTTCCTCGTGCCTCTTATAGGCATACCTACCGTGTATGGAAAACAATGATAACTCGATTTTCTTCTTCTTCAAGGAAAAAATTTTAGCTCATTTTCAGAAGACAACGTGAATTTCAATAAAACTTGCCCGCCCCTCAAGGAGTCATTTCATGTACTTTGAAGGCACATACAAGGAAAAAATGGTACCTACGGTGTGCGTTTTGGTCCGATGAGGGGCTAGCAGCCTGTCTGTAACCTCCTGGACATTTTGTTAGGAAGCTGTCGTAAAGTGATATTTTTTTTCCCCCGGAGAGGGGAACGAAGAAGAGCTTTTGGAGGTTTTTGGCAAGAGGATGGTGACTTGCCCGGAGTCTCTTTACCCAAGTTTTTGGGTTTTTTGGAGTTTATATCATCTCATTTTTGCAAGAAAACTGTTATTTTACCAAATGAAGTCCCGCACTTGTGAAGGAATTGGATTACATTTTACAATAAGGAACCATTACCTCTGGCTCTCCCATAGAAGCACATATCTGCATAGGGAAACCAATAGCATGTATTCTGTTTCTAAAATGGACCAGAAATAGTGGCTCCTAATTGCAAAATGTAATCCATTTAATGCTTATAGCTATGAAGTGGATATCTCCTTGCTGTGTAGCAAAGTTTCTCGGATCCGTCTTATTTTTTTACACCCTTGACTGTCATTTTTAATTAATCAGTTCAAAGCTATTTCGACGATTAATCATTAATTGTTAGATCGAAGAAGAAATTTTCTTCGGAAAGCTATGGCTGAATTGACTTTACAACTGAACTTGTGAGAGCATCAACTGAGGCAAATTTTGCAGAAAGTTATACATGGTAAGTGATAATTATTTCAACGCTCTCTTAGTTTTAAAAAGAGATGAGTTTTAAAAATCAAAATCTACACAACTGTAGATATCCCTGAAAAGAAATACAATTGTAGAATCCCAAAAAAAGAAAAAGAAGAAAGAAAAGAAATACGAAGAAATTCAATGATAAATTGCAACAACGGTAGGTACTTATTTCAAATTAATTGCTCTAAAAATTGTTCCTTCAATGAGTAAATAGGCAACATTCTCAACACTACAATGCAATAGAAATAACTTTACCATGGAATTGAAATTCAAAGAAATGTGTGCAGCTGCTTGAGTAATAGAAGTTTGGAAATCAGGGCATTCAACAGCTTCCCAGACCTCATTAGTGTTACAATCTAAAAATTGTAAGGATTAAAAGTGTCAAGCTCTCAAAATTTTTGTTCTCTGATGATCAAGAAGCCCTGCTAAAAATGTTCAGTGTCATTTTTATTTTTGTTTGTGAAAGGAAATTATTTTAAGATTTTTTGGCATTCTTGGTGTCCTCTGAGACTCTGAAAATTTTTGTACTTTATTTTTCATCAAATAATGAACATTTTCATTGTAATTTTTGTCTTTATTTAGGAGAGTACATTATTCGATGATTATCTTCAGTATGTATTAGATCTTTCCCCCAGCGACAAGGTTTACTGAAATTTTATGAGATCTATATAGTTCTCATAGGTACTGACCTGCATCATGGTCATAGTATCATCTTTGAGGAGTAAATGAAAACAAATTATTTTCTCTTGGTTCCTCAATTCAGGGCTCTGATGAATAAACCCTGTTAGACAACAATGTTAGTGGGTAAAATTGCTCCCTCCAAAATCCTTTAAGCGGTATTAATTTAGTGGTAAAGTTATCAACGACCCTCATTGAATCTCATCTGGTTCACTGAATTTCTGAGGGATAGACAGGGTGACAGGTTCTGTAAAAGTTAGGAAATTAAGCCCTCCTCACTGTGAAAATATGTCAGGTAGTTTTGCTGCGGAGCATTGAAATTCCTTCTCCCAGTAAAAAAATTGGACTTTTCGGTTTAAAGAGACTAAACACTTAAAATTAAGTCAAGTAAAAACTTGAAATTTTTGTGAAAAGAATTTTTATCTGAGACACCTAATGTCAAAAGAGGACATTCCAAAATCAGGGAAAAGTTAGTGACCACTACGCTTAAAATCCCAGAAAAGAATTTTCTGCGCATCGAAGTCATTAATTACACGATTTTCAGAAATTATGTTGAATTATTTATCAGCAGAGAAATGAAAAGACTGAAAGTCTTTGAGGATGAACTTTGTGGATTGCGGTAAGTAGTTTCCCAGTTTGGCCATGGTATTGATATATTCGTTTCGTCATTAATCATTATCAATAAAAATATCCCTATCTACCGTAAATGTTGGAAAACCAGTGTGCATGTAATCTGGTAATCCTTAATTAATCAACTGTAGATTTCTTACCTGCTAAACTGCCTGATGAGTTGAAAAAAATGTTCACTTAGAGACAGATTCTTATGTCCTGGTTCATGCTTTCGTAAGTTGAGTTGCACTGTCAATTCCGTCGCATAGCTTTCAGCAGAAAATTTCTTCCTTGATATGACGTTTGATGATTCATCGTTGAGATAGCTTTGAACTGATTGATGATGAATGGAACTAAAAGTGCCATTAATCGATGAATCAGAGATCAAAGTAAGATGTGAAGCTATAAGAGCAGGGAACGTAACGGACAAAAGTGAACGTCTGTTCTACGTGTCTAAACTGAGACTTATCTGAGAAATTTAGCGACACCACACAGAGGTTTTTACTTCGTAATAAAGCTTAAAATTATTTATCACTGGAGGAGTTTCTTTAGTAAATTAGCATGCTTAAAGGTACATCCTGACGTGAGAGAAAAACAATGGTATTGGTACCTGAGCGTAAGTATGTATGTCCTTGAGTGTTAACGTAGAAAGACTCTTAATAAACATTAAACAAGGAAACAAAACTGGACGAAGGTACTGTAATACCTAATTTACTTTAAAACTGCTAAAAGAAGAACCAAAAGACAAACCTCACTTATCTTAAATGTATAAACACTTGGTATCGCTCAGAGCTCAGAAAAACCTTGAGCGAAATGGACTCATATCCGTAGAACTTGAGGAGTAAAAAGGCTGTAATGCCAGAAAAATGTGAGCTTCACGCTCTTAAATGGATTCAGGGTCTCATAATTTTAGTGAAGCGACTTTAAATCACTTGATTTGAACCAAAAATGAAGAGAGAACAATGAGAGAGTAGAATGGTGAGGTTTTGAGTTCTAAGATTGGATATTCAGAATTCACTTCACGATGAGGCGATAAACTTCTGCTCCAGGTTGTAAAATACGATGATAATGCTTGTCACAAACATTGTTGAAGTCGTAAATGGATTGAAATGATTGAAACCAAATGATTCCGTATTGTATCGATCGTTTTTGTTGCTCTGTGAAACAGGAACTAACCTAACATTCGTGGTTTGTTTTGTTGTTCCGCTGGTGAGATGCTGACTGCAGAGAGCACTAACATTGTCACTCTACCGTGTGTATGTGTTAGTAAATTCGGGTTTTACGATTTTTGGGACATAATCAAAGCTACAGCCTAAACGGTAAAAGTAAACCCCTACTCATATATAATTTTTAGAATCCTCATAACTTCAGGATGTTCCCTCGAAATAACCATAATTTCATTCCAGAATAGTATAAGCGAGAAATTCAATGATAAACGTCAGCAGGTCGGGTCGCCCATTGCACCCGAAAAGCCGTTTAGACGCAATATTTTTCTTAGGATGCCTTGGTTATTAATGAAACTTAAACGCGCACTACACGAGAACATGACAATTCTTTTGATATAACATTATATAGGGCTCCGATGTCTCGTATTCTCCATAGCTTTGTCTGAAAGTGAAAATGGTCAAAGTGGATACTTTTCGCTATTTTAGGCACATATGCGTAATTATTTCTTTTAATAAATCATCAACCTCCTTGAAACTCAACAGTTCGTTAGACGGGACCGAGACGCATCTTTAGACACCAAAATTTCTGAAATCCGTCGCTCCGTTGCTTTGAAAAGCTTTTGAACTCGCAACTAAATAAGCAAGTTACCTGTAACTATGGTGTCGTTGCCTCGATCGGGCTGTGCTGTGTTGCCAATTGTTGGAGGATAGGTTACTTGCCCGGATGTGGCTACCGCCACTCATGATCACTGATTGATTCTAAAGTCTGAACCAGGCATTTGATTAGTTGGAAGCAGCAGAAATTTCAAATCATTCAACTTAAATATTTTATCTCAGCGTTTCCGTCAAAGCAGTGCTTGGCCGGATATCCGTCGGCGCCGCTAGCTCTTCTACACCGGAAATCGAATTTTTTTTAAATTTCCCGCGATTTTTAGTGAAACTGAAAGTGAACCACTTTCGACCAATCACAATGCCTAGTTCGGAAAACACCAAGATTGAGGTTAGAAGTTTGTTATGACCAGGTTCGGACTTTTTCAACGTGGTGTGAATCAAGTTTTATTACTTTTTATCGGTCTTGATTCTTCACTAGAATCATTTTTATGGATGTAAATTACGAAAGTGCCTTTCTCATGTAAAGCTCGGTGCTTTTTCTCACTTATTACTCCTTATTTGTAGCAATCATTCTCTCGGTATCTCATCTCGCTTACCGTAAGTTTGAAAGATCAGATGACTTTTTCATGTTTCAGAAGATTTAGTAACATCGATATTTATCAAAATTACAGTTTATTTTCAGCTCAAGTTTCTGCATTCATAAATGTATTTGGTTCATTGGTTCTCTTAAAGCCAAGATCACTGCGATTATAGTCAGTTGTTATGGCTAATGTTTTGAATTTCATTGATTCGTCATCCTCTCTTAAAGTTCACATTACAGGTGGAACAGCTAAATCTTCAAAAATAGAAGTATAAGCAACTGTGCAGATAATATGTTTTTGTTCCCAACAAAACTTGATCCCAACTAGAGCTCTCTTTGATCGTAACAAAATTTTATTCTGACTTAAGTACCTAATAGAAACTTTCTTTCCTCACTAATTTTTCTCCGAGCGTGCTCATTATCTTTCTAGAAATCCATTTTAAACGCCTTCATCAAAGACACTTCAAAATAACCACCTGAATTTGGCACCAACTTGTGTTACATCAGGTTGAAAGATCTCCTTACTATTTTAAAATACTTAACATTCTACTGGACATTCTAATTTGGAAGAAAATCTCTGGTTTTTGGAGGGTTAAGTTTATGCTTTGTGTGTCAACAGAAAATGTATTCGATATTGACAATAGAGCCTAGCATTCCATTACTTTACATGACTTCAATTAATTCAGCCACTAATTTTCTAAAGTCTCATAAGTAAGCAATAATAGAGATTGTTTCAACAAAGGTGTTCGGTTTTATTATCTCAAACCCCCGACAGTATTCAAGTTATCTTGGAATCATAACGTATCTTTTTTTATTTTTAGGTCATGCCAGGAGTCTGCGAAGAGATTATTGATGATATAGAGGACTTGATCTCCTCTCAAGATATCACTCCAAAAGAGCGGTATAGTAACAAGAAAAATGTCAAAGTGAGGAAGTTCAAAAAAACAACTGCAGAAGAAAATGGTAATACGGAGGATAAAGTTTTCATGCAAAGTGTGGTACCGGGCACTCAAAGAATCTTCATCAAAACATGGGGTTGTACCCATAACAGCTCAGATAGTGAATACATGGCAGGTCTCCTCACACAATATGGATATAAACTGACGGGTATGTTTCTGTAAACCATTTTTTAATCACTTAATTATCGACACTCTTGGACCTTTTATACTCACAAGATCAAAAATTTTTATACACTGGCATGTAGGTATGTTTGAATTCAAATTAGTTGCAAAGTTAATGTTCAAAACTGCTCCCAAAATATGGCATGGTCAATCCGTCTGGTGAGAAATCTTCCTTATTCTTTTATGTTTTATAGTTATAGTCACAAAAATAATTTGGAAGAAAATCCAATGGTGTTTAAAATATCATATTGTATAATCATCATAGGTTCATAGCTTAATTGCATATAAGTGTATCCAGGAACTTACTTCAATCATGCCTGATGTGACAATAGTTTCACTTTCTGAAAATTTTTAAAATTAGAATTTTGTAGATTTTACATCTTCGTCTTCATTTGAAAAAATGGTATTGGCTGTATCCAATTTCCAGGAATTATTCAGTCAACTCTATTGTGGTGATTTTATACCAATGAAACACAATCTGTTTTGTGACAAAAAGACTTCACCTATCTTGTCTCTTGATTTTCAGTACCGAACTCATTTGGTTTTTTAACATGTTTTTATTTTTAGATGACAGATTGGAGGCAGATTTGTGGCTCTTGAATAGTTGTACTGTGAAGAATCCATCGCAAGATCATTTCAGGTGGGTTATTTGATTACTATTATCTGGTTAAAAGATAGGGAATGCAGAAATTTTAGAGGCAGAGGAAAGCAAAAAAATTCAGGGAATTGGATACTGAAAAAATGGAGAATTTGCATGCAAATTTTTTATTGCTTCATATGAAAGTGCTTAAAAAGCTGATTTCACATTATTTTTCATAATTTCTCTCTGATATGGGAAATAGTATAAAAATAGATTTGAAAGTAAGGAAATGCACCGCCTAGTGACGTCATCTGGCAGCATTTCTCATTTAAACACATGTATTTTAGCAGATTAGAACATTTTGTCATATCTTCTCCAATAATTGTTCAATTCGTGAACCAAGGGTATCCTCAGGTTCAGTTCACTCAACGGTTTCCACTTAAACACAAAATTCATCAAATTTCAGACATCTGCAAAGTCTCTATTATTAAAACCCTTTAAAGAAAAATAAAACATCATAAATATTTTAGTTTCTCATTACAGGAAAAATTGTTAGACTTATTTTTGTCCATCTGAAGATACAAGCTTTCAAAACTATATTCTCTTTTTGCAGAAACGAAATTCAGGAAGGAAGGTCTAAAGGCAAGTTTGTCGTTGTAGCTGGCTGTGTTCCCCAGGGAGCTCCAAAGCTAGATTTCATTCAAGGATTGAGTGTCATCGGTGTACAGCAAATCGACAGAGTTGTTGAGGTTGTTGAAGAAACACTGAAAGGTAAAAATTTGCTGCAATTTGTTTTTCTTTACTTTTTTGCATTTCACTGCCCTTTGATCTAAAAACTGTCAATTGAAATTTATGAAGTTCACACAAGTAAGAATACAGGAACTATTGATCAAACGTTAAATAAAGAAGAACAAGCAGGAAAGCTCTAATATGTTCGCATTAGAGATGTGCTTAGCTGTTTTCTATGTAGGAGTTTTTTTAAGTTCCCCAAAGAAGATGAGCAATGTTGAGTGAAAGATCTCGCCTCACCAAAATTTCATCTATCAATTTTGAGAAAAGTACAGTAGGTACCGTATACAAATAAATTATAGAAAAATGACTATCGTCCTTCACTCTTTGATGACAGAAGCATTAATGAATGGTATACTAGGTGAATCTATTCTAAATATGTGAGGCCTCTATCCGCCATCTTTTTGTTGAGCTGGTGCGCTATTTGAACGCAATGCCACTAGTATTCTAGAATGGGCCTGTTGCAAACTTTTGCTAGAGCAAAACTAAGAGTTGTTTCCTATAGAAAATGCCTCAAAAATCACAATGAGCGCACCGGCAAAGTCTATAATGCACTCATAACTTCACAATCTGGGTAAGAAATTTGCGGTTTTTTGAGCTTCCCGCTTCAAAAACGATACTTTTGAACTATACTATACTACTGAACATTTTGTTAGAGGAGTTGTTCCGTCGTCGACAATACTTATCATGGCCGACGGCAATCCGCTAAAACATGTGTGATGGGACGAGATAACACCTCACCAGGCTAAGACTAGATAACAATCGGCGTGTTTACGTTCATATTTTCCTCGCCCGCCTTGATTGACCTTGAACTCTCCTCAAATTACCTCGAGTTAGGTTACCTCAAGGAACTGCGGATGCGTTGGCCATGATGAATATTGCCGACAATGGAACAATTCCTCCAACATGATGTTCACCTGTGCCGTAGTATCGTTTTTGAAGCGGGAAGCTAAAAAAAGCGCAAATTTCTTACGCAGATTGTGAAGTTATGAGTGCATTTCAGACTTTGCCGATGCGCTCATCGTGATTTTTGAGACATTATCTATAAAAAACAATCTTATTTTTGCTCTAGCAATAGTTTGCAACAGGCCCATTCTTGAGACAGGTTGAAATAAAAAAGCGCTCTCTATTAGCTGAGCACTTAAAATTGTCATGAGAGATTATCTACCAACAGCAGCCCTATAGCGTAACAAAGAAACACTTCAAAGCCATGGAAACAATGTGCTGACAAGGCTGATAATAAACTAAATACAATCATAGGATGTTTTAGTTCAGTTCTCTAGGTACTTTCAACCGTAAAAAATCAAAAAAATTAAAATATGCATTCAACTCATTGGGATGGAAGCTAGAAAGAAATCTAATCCATCCAGCTTCCATCGCAATGAGCTGGGTATTTTGGATTTGATTTTTTCATCAAGTTTTCTCATTTTTTACTGTTGATAACGTGCAGAAAACGGGGTAAAATGTCTGGTGTTTGTTTTTAATTTTGGTTTTCAGACTTGTCCCCACGTTGTTTCTATTTCTTCTCGGTGTCTCTTTTTTCATTAATTTGTAGTCAAGTCATGTTTATTTGTTATCCACCCATTTCCATTTAGATTCTAATGAGCAAAGAAAAATTATCATCATTTTAGTTTAAATTCAATCACAGAATATTCTCTCGCAATTCAATGCTTTTTCTAGATCTTGCACTTATTCACGTTTGTCTGTATACATACTCATTATTAATTGTATTCATACTTCATATAATATTGTCAATCTAATCATAGCCCCTGTCGCCTCAAGAAAATTCAAGTCTTTAAAACTGCGTTTTACCTTTTCAGGGCACAATGTGAGATTACTGGGTCAGAAAAAGTCTGGCGGAAAGAAACTTGGTGGAGCACCTCTAGAACTGCCAAAAGTTCGGAAAAATCCACTAATTGAAATAATCCCAATCAATACTGGTTGCCTAAATCAGTGCACATATTGTAAAACAAAACATGCAAGAGGGGATTTGGGAAGTTATCCTCCTGGTGAGTGCTCATTTGGACGTATTTCTATCAAACAAAACTATGTGCATTAAGACATGAGCCCTGAGATCCATAAGAATATGTGCATAACATGGCTCTCGTCATATTGCTCATAGTTCCGTTTGATACAAATACGTCCATTTGTTCTATCTGATGGCAGATCTTGTTTTTTTTTTTTGGGGGGGGGGGGGTTCCTGCTAATTTGTTTCCGAAAGGTTTTTAACTGAAATCTTTTACAAATTTCCGAGCCCCCTCCATCTCATGGATATTCTAAGTTTTAGTGGGAGTAAATTGGTTTATTTTTGGTGAGATAATAGCAAAAATGAATGTATTAATGGTAAGTTCATGACTCAACAACAACAGGCATTCTTTGAAATTAAAATTAAATTTCATCCTGTTATTGGGTATTTAATTTGCTTGTATCTCTAAGTCAATTAAAAAGGAAAAATATCATAGGAATTAAAAGGGCTGAGTAGAAATTATTTCGAAGTCAAGAGAATAAAAGGATAAATTAAAATAAGAAAAACTATTTCTTTCTTTGTCTGTTTTTACAAATAAATATATTATGACTCTACCTGCACACTTCGTCAGCTCTTAGTAACTGAGGGGAAAGTCTGAAATTTTGCAAAAATTCCAATAGAAGTAAATGTGTTTTTTTATTCCATTTTCAGAGGAAATAGTTGCACGTGCTCAACAGGCTTTTAGCGAAGGAGTTGTTGAACTATGGTTGACGAGTGAAGATACAGGTACTTACGGAAGAGACATCGGATCATCACTACCAGAATTACTGAAAATGTTAATTAAAATTATACCAAAGCACTGCATGATGAGAGTTGGAATGACCAATCCACCTTACATCCTAGAGCATTTAGAGGTTCGTCTTTAATTCTATTTAATTATATTGTCCAAAAAATTCATTAAACATGTAAGTTATCTGAAACCGTCAAAGAACAAAATAGGCACAGTCACAGAACAGTTGGATGAAAAAATTGGTCTGGCGATATTGGAAAAATACGAGGACAAGAAAAAATGTCGCAAAAGTATAGGAAAAATCAAGTCCATGAAATTGAAATTTTTTTACATGTTTTACCACTTAGCTTCATCTAGTTTCTAAAGAGAAGCAGAACTTATTGACAAATCTGAATCAAAAATTATCGTGAAATTTTCTGAAAGTTTGTCTGGAAAGCCTGGAAGAGTCAAGAAATTTCATTGCAACATTTCTGTGGCCGCCCAAACAGAAAGTCCCTAAGTTTTCCTAACTCTCTCTTGTAGGTTACTATTTTATTATGTCTGTCTTTCACAAGTGCCCTGCATATTATCTTTCGATTGTATAGCTTAAAATTCCCATAAACCTTGCAAAATAAACTCTGATGTATTTTTAATAAGACTTTTATCTTGACCTCTTAACCTGGAAACAATGTTCTCATGGAGGATCCATAACAATATCTAGTATAAAACAGTGATGCTCTGTGTGAATTCTCTTATTTAGAAATTGCAATCTTATCTTATTTATAATTTAGAAAATGCAACTTTGCCGTAGAATACCCAGAAAATTTGAAGCCAAGTACATACATTTGAAAAATCCAAGTCTTGACTTTTGATACTTCCTTCAAGTATTTCAGTTCGTAAAATTGATTTTTATCACTTCACAGGAAATCGGTGAAATTCTCGCACATCCCTGTGTATATAGCTTTCTCCATGTGCCTGTGCAAAGCGGTAGTGATGAAGTTCTCGCAGACATGAAACGAGAGTACACTAGGCAAGACTTTGAAAATGTTGTAGATACATTACGCCAAAGGTAAGTTTAACTCTTATTTAATTTCTTCTTCTTGTTAGTTTGGGTAAGCACTTTACTGATCCTTCTAATCTCGTAACCCCTGAAAAGACCTTAATCCAAAAACAATTCCCTCCCTTTCTAAATTTTTTACAAACTTCGTCTTTTGATAACTCAGACCTAATACCCTTCATTACCATTACCCTTCAAAACATTTTCATCATCTTACTCAGTTTTCCACAAGGGTCTAAGAAACTATGGTTTGTTATTTTGTCACATTGTTTAATATCTACTCAACTGTAATTTATGAACATCAATCAAGTCTCGTCCTATTCATTTTATAAATGTTTGATTTTTCAGAGTGCCAGGTGTGACAATAGCCACCGACATAATTTGCGGGTTCCCAACAGAAACAGAAGCGTACTTCGAGGAAACCATGGACCTTTGTGCAAAATACAAATTTCCATCATTGTTTATCAATCAGTTTTTCCCAAGACCTGGTACCCCTGCAGCAAGACTTCCAAGGATACCAACCACAACGGTAATCTCACATTTTCATTGGTCTCCCTTTTGTGGCCATTCATGAATGAAAGAAGCCTTATCTTATCGCAAAGAAAAAAATCATTGAAAAGAGACATTTTCGCCAAGTTGAGTTAAAAAACATACTCTTCGTTGTTGTTGTAAATAGTATTCAGTGTTTCCAAGAATAAGTCGTGAGCGCTTCAGTGAGTTTTTACCCCAATAGAGAATGTTAGCTTACATTTCAACATCCAGTTGTTTTCTTACTGTTTTGGATTATTTAATCTGATAACTTTAATCCCTGGAGCCGAAAAGTAGTAAATCAAAGGTTTCAAAAGCTTTTTCTGTAAAGAACATTATTCAAACTGCAAATTTCATACCATCCTAAGTCCAGTCTGATTTGAAATTTTTTTGGCCCAAATTTTGTACAATCTCCTAGGCAGTAATGTTATCATCTAAATTTTGAATTTTTTGGCAGGTCTTTCATCCTATCAATGGTCACATAAATCTACTCTGCCCATTTTTTTTTTTTTTTTTTTTTTTTTTTTTTTTTTTTTTTTTTTTTTTTTTTTTTTTTTTTTTTAAAAAAACAACTCTATTGCATAAGAATCTGGTGGTGTTAACCTGATTGGGCCCTGATAAAAGTTAATTGAGTTGCATTTTGGAGGTGAAACTAGATAAACATGCAGTTCAATTTCAGTGTTATGAATTTTTTTTTTTTTTTTTGTTATTTCGTTTTTTAAAGGAAGGCAACCAATGCACACTTTAATGAGCTGTATCAATCACATTTTTATCAAATATTCTTCATACTTTGAAAAAAATCGTAGACATATTTAAGGAATGATAGTGCTTAGTTTTCCTTCTCGGAAGTTAAGCACCCAGGACAGAAGATTCTCATTATTGCTGATGAGATTTGTTGTTATTAACTGCAACATTCTTCCGAACCATTTTATCTAAATTTTATTTCTTTCAATTTAATCGTTTATCCCCTTCACTAGTTCAAGCATTTTGTAATACGTAAAGTCAATATTTTTGTTTCAGGTTAAGCAAAGAACCAAGAAGTTGAATGAATTGTTTCAGTCTTACGAACCATACAATCACAAATTAGGGGATGTACAGGAAGTTCTTGTCACAGAAGAAGCATTTGACAAGGAACATTATGTAGGACACAATAAATTTTATGAACAGGTAATGTTTCATTGTTTATTTGTATAACAATGGACTTGTTGCAAACTTTTACTAGAGCAAAAATGAGGATTGTTTCCATCAGTAAATGTCTCAAAAATCACAATGAGCGCATTGGCAAAGTTTGAAATGCACTTCTAACTTCACAATCTGCATAAGAAATTAGCGGTTTTTCTAGCCTCCCACTTCAAGAACGATACCACAGCACAGGTGAACATTTCATTAGAGGTGTCGTTTGATCCAACCCCTATGCACTAGAATACTACACAATATTCAACATGGCTGACACCAATTTGCCCAAACCTTCATGCCAACGAGATTCTAATTATTCATTAATAACCCAGCGTGTTGACATTCACAATTTCTTCGCGTTGATAAAGATCCACTTAGGTTGATCTTGTGCTCCCGACTGCTATTTGCACAAGGAAGCGTCGGCTATGTTGGGTATTGCTATCGCAAAAGGGTTGATTGGAACGATCCTCTAACGAAATGTTCACCTGAGCCTTAGATCGTTTTTAAAGTGGGAAGATAATACAAACGCAAATTTCTTTCGTGGATTGTGAAGTAAAAACTTTGCCAATGCGCTCATTGTGATTTTTAAGACATTTACTGATAGAATCAAATCGTATTTGCAGCAAAAGTTTGCAACAGACCCATTATGAAAAAGAATATGTATCTTAATATATATTGAAGACTCTGCCAAATTTTGAACTCTTGCATATCAAAATTTGAATTTTCGCTTGCAATTTGTAAATTAATGAAACATAATTTTTAGCACAAGAACTCAAAATTTTGGAAATTATAAAACCACTATCATCCTTCAACAGCCCCAAGAAAGCAATGTGGCTGAATTATGGCCTTAGATTAGTGTATCAGAATAAAAGCACATTTTGTTCCAACTAATCAGAAGAACCTCTGGTCATGAATTGTCAAAGAAAGAGTTTAAACGTAGTTGCCACTCATAAATATGGAGGAGCATAGGAAAGTCCATACTCTTTATCATGTTATGTCGTAAAAATCTTCTATTATCTTTTTTGTTTTACAGGTGCTAGTTCCCAAGAAGCAGCATTTTCTGGGTCAAAAAGTGAAGGTGAAGATTGTCGAGACTAAGAAGCATTGCATGATCGGTGAAGTTCCAACTTTGGAAAATGCCAGAGCTAGTCTTGCTGAAATCAAAACATCCAATTCGGTGTTATTGCTGCGTTTTATTATCATATCTACAATTGTTTTATCATATTGTATTCGTTTTTGGCTTTTTGATTAAAATAAAACCTAGCAAAAATCAATTTTGTTGAAATTTTTACGCCTTTGATTTTTAATAATTACTAAATTAAGCAAAACACAATAATCAGTGCAACTTTTAAAAGAACTCCCAAAATATGTTGCTGTGTTGCGGTTTTGAAAAAATATGGTAGTGCCTGGATGCTGATGCAGCAATTTGCCTCAGCTCTATTATGGTGTTTATGTAGACCTAGTCCATGGTACATACCATGCAGGGCTTCTATCCTAAATTCATTCTGAATCTCCATTTGGTTATAACAAAAATGATCAAATACATTAAGTAATTGATCTGCTTAAATGATTTTCTCCAAAGTTGCCAAAACAAAGCTCAACAGAATCAAATAAGTTTAAAAATTTCATGGCATCTGAAGTGTGGAAACCATGTAAGTTAGCCAACCCCTTGATAATTGAACTGTTTGCCTTGTTAAGTTCGCAACTCAGAAAAATTAAAAATCTCATTGTATTAAAGAAAAGTGGTTTTTTTCAATCTTGCACACCTTTCATTAATTCTCCTAAAGATTTTTTTTTTCTATTCTTTTTTTTTTTTTTCATTTTACATTGAGAAGATGACTACGAATTTCGTTTGCTAAAGAAGTGCCCAAACCCAAAATTTAAAATAATTCATGTAGGTAGTTATTTGCCTTACAAGAGAACCAAAAAATTTAAGAGGTACGTTTGGCAACACGGCTCGCTTTCTGGAAAACGAGTAACATGCATCAAAAAAATTTCCATCCACCAAGTGGTTTTGGCTGAAGTTATTTTCGTAAATTTCAATTTTTTTTTCCTTTTAATATTTGTTTCGATTTCTTTTTTTCTCTTCTTTCTCTTGCCTCGAAGCTGAAATTGTTTGAGAACAAGCGATTCAATGTCAGGTAAGGCAAGACTCAATGGAGCTTCATGGAGCTTTACCTATGGACCCAAGTTTACCTACCATCGGATTCGCCACCCGCGAAAACGCCTCTCAGTTTGCGAGGATGCGACCATTTCAATAAGGGGTATCTATTTTTGCCTAATCACTTAAGTGAAGGCGAACCGCAGTCTGTGTAGCTCATCTAAAAACATTTTTTGTGGAACAAAATCGTTGTTCCCTTCATTTCGACGGTTAGGCAAAAACTGTTTCGCGCACTACTTTAACGCATAGTAACCTGGGTTGAAATGTTCACATATTTTAAGGAAGAAAAAAGAAACAAACAAAAAAATGAAAATCCGACTCATAAGTACGATCATTCGAATACCTGCACGCCGCAGCATCGTCACTGATAAATCCTGAAATAGAGCTCGAACTGAAATGAGTTGCGCGGCAAAGACTATACCTACCAAACAAAAGTAAAAAAAATGCCATGTGCGTTTTAAATAGTGTTTATAACTACTTTTTTCTATGTAACTTTTTCCCCCGATAAATAAATACATTTTCCAAAATAGCAAAGGCTGTCTCTTAAAAGAAAACAAACCGACATTTTTTTTTTTTTTTTTTTTTTTTTTTTTCGATTTCTAATTTTTCGGAAATTTTCTTTCCCCACTCAAGAACAATCAAATATGCAGTCTTTAAGATATATTTTAAAAAGTTTTATTTCTAAAAAATAAATTACAACTTGAGATTCTTAATCATTAGACATAATTCGACTTCATAACCATCGATCTGAATTTAGAACAGAAGTCCCCCCCCCCCCCCNAAGAAAAAAACTGTTCCGACGATAAAGTAGAACTGTTTTTAGTTTCTCATACAATGCAACGGAAGCGGTGAGGAGTCACACCGATATTAAGTATGAGGTCAACATTAAATTAGAATTAGTCTGATCAGCTCAGCAAAGAAAAAAGGGTAGAGAGAAAAAGGAGAGGAGGGGGAAGGGAGTGGCAAGTATGTAAATGCTTTGTGCGATTTTAGTCGGGAAAGCACGAAAGAAGACGCGCCTTCAGAGAGAACTCAGATATAAAAAGAGAGAAAGAGCGTGAAATGCTAATCAAGTACAAAGATCAGATAGCCGAGTAAAATGCCGGTATCTTGTTCTGACTCAAGGTCTCAGTGCCTAGCGGTATTTCAACTTAATGAATTACTATCTATTTAAAAAATTCCATGTACCTAAAAAAAAGAGAGAGGAAAAAAAGAAAAGTTGCGTGAATCTTGCGCAGTATTTAGTTTTGCTTTGTACGAGGATGTCACTTTGGGCGAGTTCTAACAGTGCGTGAATGCAGTGGTTTTAGCGTCCATTATTTTAGGTTCATCATTCTGACCCGTGTCAAAAATTAGGCAATTAACGCAAGTACCCATAGCAAAATTTCGAAAATAATTAAGTGAGTACCGAAGTATATCCATTTTTTTTTCTCTTCCAAAAATATTTACTTTTAAGTCTTAAGTCACAATTTTTATTTAAGCAAATAAGTACCTGAGCAGGTACAATATAGATGATCCAGGTCGCAAAACTCGTACCTACACCTCCGATTGCGACCGGTAAAATCCATTGAAAATCTCATTTTTTCAGTGAATTTTTTCACCCACCCATTCAAAAATATTTCTAAAATCGTTGAAAGGGATCTTTTTTTTTTTTTTTTTGGTTTCCATCTGGAGGAAGGAAAGAAAAAAATGGTAAAATAAATACTTGGGAGATCATTTAAACGTTAATTGCAATGGAGACACGCATTCTTTGACTTTATAGCCATCCATATACTTTTCATGTGAACAAAAATATATCGGCACGCGGCCGATTTAGGACTATATACTCCCGTTTAACTGCAGTAATTGTATTCTGGGACGAGCCTCGAGGTACATAAAATACATACAAGTTGCTCTTTTTTGTCATAACACGGCAGTTTACTTGACGTAAAATACAGCTGTTGCGTCACTCAGCCGAGAGGCATCCGTAGAGAACGTGATCGTGGTAGACGCGCATCAGGAAAGCGATTGTGCAGGTAAAAAAAATAGATATGAATTTATGCAGATTGCGACGTTTCAAACTAATTGCGGTTCATTATTATTCATTTTTTCTTTCTTTTTCCTTGAGAGAAAGAAAGAATTACAACTTTTTTAAAATATCCTCGTCGAAATTCTTCATACAAAGAAGAACCAGTAAAAGTACCAGGTGTTAAACGTTTAATGTAATATGATGTTTTTTTTTTTTTTTTTTTTTTTTTTTTTTTTTTTTTTATAGAATTAACTTTTGATGAGAAATCTGCATCGCTGCAAAACTTTTTTCTTTTTACTGTAGGTATCGGAAGTCAATGCTCTAAAGTTTTGATAACTAATTTTGACGTGAATGGCGCGAATTAGTGAGTGTTGCCTAGCGGTCGAAATGAAGGCGAATCAAGCTTCATGCCACAAGGATGTCATTGAACAGAGAGGAAATGGTGCAACAGATTTGGCGTTAATACGTCTTATGTTCTTTACATTTTTCTTCTCTTTTAAGTTTATTTTTTTTTTTTTTTTACTTTTTAATTTACCTACTTATCAATGACCAAAGTTTGAGACCACGTTTCGCCGTTTGCGACGCTGCAGACTTCCTGTCAAGCAGCATTTTTTTTTCGGAAAACTATAGTCAACGTAATTTCTTGAAAACTTCCTTAAATGTTCTGTCCCATCGTCGAAATACATGTCCTTTTTTATATTTCAAGCCATAAATTTGACTTGTTTCTCTTCGAAAAATTAAATTAGGAACGGAAACTTTGGAACACCGCAATGGATAGGTATATTTACGTGGTTTCGCACTCTGGCCATCGATTTGTTAAAATCGATTTTTTTTTTTTTTTTATCTGTCACTTCTTTCATGTTATTTACAACTTTTTTTTTTCTATTAAAATGTTTTTTTTTTTTATTTATATTACATTTCTTAGGTTGTCAGCTGTAACTAGGTCAGGAGCTAATACTTCCCGTTTTTAGCGATGGATTTATACTCTCGAATCCAGCCAACGTTGGACACAGCTGTGGTGACAGTGGGCGCACTTGCAGTCGGCGTGATGGCGATTTGCGTTTTGATCGTGGATGTTTGTCTCGACACCGCCGTCATAGCCCACCGATCGTGGAAAATCCATCAGAAGAAGTATTTCGACAAGTCCTTATTCGGCCAGATCGAAGTCTTCATGCTCTGGTTTGTCGTCACTATCGTCGGCGCCATATTTTATTTCTCTTATCTGGGAGCCCTTCGAGTTTTCCGTGTATTCGTCAAGAATAAAATTAACGATTAAAAAAAAAATATCTGCTGTTTTTATTTCACATCCTCTCAATTAAGACAATGTATAATCATTTTTACAACAGACGTAGCATCGAAATCATTCAAGTAGGCGTCGCCAAAGCAATGTAAAGGTGGCCAGACCCCCGCTTAGGAGGAGTGTTTCCCGCACCAAAAAAATTGTCCTAATTTCGAAACTCTTAATATCTGTTTCCTCCGGTAGCTGCTTTGACCGGAAACGCTTCGATGGACAGGATACCGGAGAGTATTTTAAATTCCCGCCAATTCCGGCTTAACTCGGCGCGGACCAATCATTATCTCTGGTTCATTCAATGTTCCAAAAAATGTGGCACGGGGATGGAGATGGAAACATAACATAACCCTAAAATTTTTCGAAAATATTGACATTTGACAGATCGACATTCCATACTGATACGAAATAGTACTATTATTTTTATTATATGTCTTTCAGTCTTCCCTTAGATTTTAAATTTCTCCTTCTCTTCATCATGGTTTAAATTTCAACTCCCCTTAGTTTGCACTCAGTGTATTAATTGGACACTGCTGGTGATGTGACACTTTCTTCTCATTTGGTCTTATCTCACCTGTATGTAAGTAACTACCCATCTTTGGACCATGATCCATATTATAGGATGAAGCACAGTCTACAGGTAGTTAAGATTACCCATAGATGAAAAATAAACGGGAAAATCCGATTATTCTCTGATTTGTACCTTCTTTCCATCAGTGTCGCAGCAGGAATTTCAGTCAACATAAGTGAGATTTGATGATACACCCAGAGTTTTACATAGGTGTGTATTGATTCTTGCTGATGATATTCGATCAACTTCGGAGTACATATCGTTACTTTCCAGCCAAAGTATCTCTAACGCAATGCAACATTTAAAACATTTCTGCCGCCATTTTACTTTTTTACTGAGAAATTGCTGGTTGAATCTGTTTGAAAATTTTACTGAATTTTATCGGCAGCACAATAATAATTCAGTGGAATTTTCAGACAGCTTCGTTGAACAATTTCTCCGTAAAAAATTAAAATGGCAGTGTATATTTTTAAACGTCGCATGGCGCTTGTGATACTTTGGCCGGAAAATGAATATATCTTTGAAGCTTTTGGAATAAGTGATTTTATTGCTAAGAGCAATTCATGCTAAGTAAGGTGCGCCATTGAAGTCATCTGATCATAAGAAGTTTGTGATGGACAGTTTTCAAAATGAAGTGGTTAACGTTCATTTACTCTGTAAAATTATATCTGATTCACAATACACCAGATTCATTCAGGTACTTGCTTATCATGTCATCCCGTAATTCTTTGATTTGCCTGGGCTCCTATGAATTCAGTTATCTTGTTATTCATTATTTCTGAACGTAAATGAGTAAGAAGACAAGCTGGAACATTAAAGGAGAATATTATCAGCATTTATCTTGATGTATTCAGTTTTCTGTAGATGGCTAATTACTTGATACAGGCCCAAGTCAGCAGTAGGCATGTTATTTTCATTATTTTTCATTGGGAACTCCCATTGAATAGATGACTTCAATAGTGTACCTTTTTAAGGTTGTCAATAATTTGTATGATGTGTCTCATCACATATCTGAGGATGTGCTGTTAGCCCCAGTACTTGAGGAAGTAAAATGAACACCTGAGAATCGAACTATTAGGCCTTTACTTTTACTTACTTATCTGCTACTATACATTGTTCAGGATTGAGACTTTCCTTTTCTGAAATTTCATTTACTCCTCTTTTTAACGTCAGGAAGGAGAGAATTCCTCTCCATATCAAGTTCATTACTTACCTAGGAAATAAGTATCTTATATTTTTTCTAAAAAAATGCAGTCATTCACTTTCAAAGCAAATGGTACCCTAAGCTAATCCAAAAAGAAAAAAAAAACTATTTTATGAAATTGGAAGGGATATTTTATTAGACTGAATGTTTGAATAAAGGTAAGTAAGTCATAATAGGAGCACATAATGCTACTTGTTCCCTCCGGACAGGCTATTGAGCCTTGGGTTTAAATTTTTGTTTTGTCTTACCAAAAATATCATTAGTACTTCTTCTAGTTTTTAAAAATTGTGATGTAAAAAAGAGGGAACTCAGTCTTTTTTCAAATTTGGGTCATATCTGCTGTAATCTGTTGATCGCAAGATAGAGCATTTTTTGCTCAGTTGTGTTGTAGATCAAGCAAATAACGGAAGATCATTAAATAATGCATCCCAATTTTTACAAGTTTTTTCGACTTCTCTGACAAGTAATTGACTATTTTTTATTTTCAACAGACTCGCATCATAGAAAGGAAACAAACATGGCGAACAACGGATCTTACAGCAACGAAAAGACCGGTAGTCTTGATGTTGATTATGGAGTTGATCCGGCAACAGGCGGATTTTTCAATTCAGACTTTAAAAAGTATGTCAATCTTCTTATACAATTATTACTTACTCTAAGCTCTCTGATCCCCTAAATTTTAATTTCTCTTAAAGCTTTAACCGTTGCCTACAAGAAAGGAGAGGGTATAACTAGTCAGTTTTGTGACGTCAAGCTAGTAGATATTTACCAAAAATAACAAGCATCTCCAGGTCACTGGTGCATTGATGAGTGAGGTAATCGCTGCGTGGACCAATCATAGTGGCCCTCAATCCGCCAAAGTTGTGCGAGCGGCCCGTTTGAATCTGAGTGGAGTAACGATTTTCGGTATTATGCTTTCATTTCCTCGATTATTAGACAATGTCATGCATGGGTTAGTTAGTTCTCTACAGTGAAATTTCATCCTCTCTCGAAAAGGCTCTTATGAATTTTTGCATCAGATTAACCCCCGAGAAGATATAGGCAAGAAAGAAACACCCATCAGGCGTTCTTCCATAAGAACACTTGTTAAACTACGGCCGAGTTTCTTCTACTAGCGTGACGTCACATAAACTTAGTTACGGCCTCTCCATTCTGGTAGGCAACGCTTTAACTAGATCCTTTGAGACAATAAGTATGATTTCTACACCTGTTGGCAAATAATATCCACATTTACCTGTTATTCTCAAAATTTGGAATTATGGTTATCACTAAAAGAGCAGGGAGTGCCTTTTGGTTCACCGATTGACATCGTGCTTTTAATATTCATTTCACAAGATTTTACTTACATTTATGTAACCTGTGTTTTAAAATTATTTGTTTGTTTATTTATTTTTTAGGCATGATGATCTCAAACAAATGCTTGACACAAACAAAGACCATGTGAAACTCGAGGCCATGAAAAGGATTATTGGAGTAAGAAAATTGTTTTTTTCTATCATCTAATTTTTTCAAGGGAATTAAGAACTTTTCTGGGGAGTATGACCTTATTTTAAGTGATTTTTGTTTGGATTACATGCGAGCATATACCACTGTAAAATTTTGCTGAAAAAATAATATCTTCTTATCCTATGGAAACCTCATAACCTTTTGAATCAATGTTATCCATCATTTCTCACCATTTCTCTAGCTGGAAATAGCCTTATTAATAGCACCATAATTTTCCACACTTCACTCTAGTTCCCTCTGAGCTTTGTTGTACTCATTTTCTTTCCCATTTGACTTCTAGAGTTTTAATATTTATCAGTAGTAAGTTCATCAGCCACCAATTTGAGTTTCGTTATTGTATGGAAGAGGGGAAAAGATCATAAAGTGGTTTCTAAGCCTTTGACAAGGATGACCCAGAGAGCAGGCACTTGCATTCTGTTCTCCACCATAAAGGAGACTGACCAATTACAAAACGAACTATGGCCCCCAGGAACCATATTAGCTGCATTGTGTATTCTAAAATGCACTGAAACACATCTGCTGAGAAAGCATCTGAGTATTTTCTGAGATAAATTTCTCAAAACTTATTAGCTTATCAGGCTGAAACTTGCTAACATCAAAGCCATGGCATGAAAATGTTAATCAGTTGTAACCATCCAAAATTTCGAGGAATTCAGACTTAAAATGGTATTATCGCACTCATTAACATATCTAGTTTTGACCAATCTAAGATGCTTGTGTGTGCTGTAGATCACCTTCCCTGCGATGACCATTAACCCCAATATGCCTTGTTTTTTTATTTATTATACATTATGGGATTCAAATTAATCAAAAATAAAAATCGAGAAATATTGTTAAAGATGCAAGAATTTTGTCCTGTGGGTTAATGGGTTTCAGCACTGCTCTACCTTTAGGACTGGTAACAAAGCAGTGGAATCAAAACTCTAATGTGCACCTTTTAATTTCATATGATTTTTTATTTTTCTAGATGATTGCCAAAGGTCGAGATGCATCAGACCTGTTTCCAGCTGTGGTCAAGAATGTGGTTTCAAAAAATATTGAGGTCAAAAAACTAGTCTATGTATATCTTGTACGTTATGCTGAAGAACAACAAGATTTAGCTTTACTGTCAATTTCTACATTCCAAAGAGCTTTAAAAGTAAGAAATAATAATTCTGCTAAACTTACCGTTTTTCTTTTGCAATTCTTGCTTATCAGATTGAGTATATGGACTAAATTTTGCAATATTTAATCATTCTAGCTCACCCTTAATATCACTTATCTGCATAAGGAAACTAATGACATAAATGCTGTTTATGAGCCAGAAATCATTGGTCTCAATTGCAAAATAAAGCCCATGTGTGCCTCTTGTCAATTTAAGTTTTTAGGTTTGGAAAGCGAGCTAACCAAAAGTATTCAAGGTGATATATGCCATTAGTATATGAGGGTTTGCTGGGGAGTTATAAAGTAATGAGACGAACTTCATTAGTCTCTGAAGATGATCTGTTGAAATTTACCGTCAATGACAAGTTTTGACTGACAACTTTAAATTCCTATAAAATAAGTGCATGAAACATTCAGTAGAATGAATTCTCCTTTCTTTGTAAATTTTTACTTGGTTGTAAAGTTCCGAATAGTGATTAAAATGTATTTCAGCCGACTCCGATTTTATAGATACAGCAATGCAGAAATCCACTTTGCTTTTCAGATTTTAAAAGAATATTTTCAATTATGGTAAGGCGTCTAGCGAACGGGAAAGTCAATAGGATGGAAGGAGTCAATGCATTAAAGTCCTCTCTGCTCATCATATTGCCCCGTTGTTTCAAAGAATTAATTCCAATTAACCTTTTCTGTTTGTTCATTATTTTATTTTAGGATCCAAACCAGCTTATTAGAGCAAGTGCCTTGAGAGTTTTATCTAGTATTCGAGTTTCTGTGATAGTGCCCATTGTCATGTTAGCAATCAAAGACTCGGCCTCTGATTTATCGGCTTATGTTCGAAAAACAGCTGCTCATGCTATTCCAAAATTATACAGGTTAGTGTTTACTTTTAATCATCGTGACTTTTACTTTCTCGCCTCCTTGGGGGTAGAGGAAATATTTTTTGAAATTCGATCCTTGATCATTCACGCTTTATCTAAGTATGTACACTGGTTTCAATTCAGCTACATATAATTCATGAAATAGCATGGAGGGTTAGTTTGCAATGTATTGAACTTATTTTTTGTAAAACAGCACCTCAGATTTTTGGTAAAACCATATTGTCAAGAGAAAGTAACTTGATTGAGTCCTATTGTGTTTTAGTGCCATGTTCGGAAAAACTGATTAAATATTCCCTTATGCCAGGATTTCTTGCATATCAAAATGTTGGTTTTTCTGAGAAAAATGCCCCGAAAAAAGACGAATCATGTTTCTCCTCTACTGTGAACAATGTAATAATAAAAATTGACGAAAGAACTCTTTGAAAGTTGAAATTGTCTCATTTTTTTCTATAACTTTCCTTCTTTTAGGTAATTTTCTACCTACAAAAATGTATTTTTTGACCTTGTTTCTAGAAAAATGCGTCGCAAATGTTCTCTCCTCGGATTTTTCTTTTCAGGCATCCTAAGTTCATCCAAGCTATGAGGATTTCATCCACAAAAAATTACGCTGTGAGGAAATTCGTCACACAATCAGGTCATGTACTGACTATGTGTAAATAATTTTTTTAAAATTTTGGTCTCAGGTTTAAAACTGTTTGTAAAAATCGATTGAGCCTGTCCGAAAGGAAAACATTTACTCTATTGTGCATTGCAATTTTGATTGCGATATTTATAAAAAATATAAAAATGTCATTGCCTTAGAAGAATGAGAGAAATTATAAGCATTTGTATAATTTTTCTGTTTAATTATTGTTACATTATTGTTCTCTGTTACAGCCTGGATCCTGAGCAAAAAGACGAATTGGTGCTTTTAATAGATAAATTGCTTGCAGATAAGACAACGCTTGTTGTAGGCTCCGCAGTTATGGCATTTGAGGAGGTAAGGAGGATGAAATGGACGTATTTCTGCCAAAAGAAACTATCTGCATTATGACGTGAGCCTTGTTATGTACATATTCTTATGGGTATCAGGGCTCATGTATTAGTGCACATAGTTCCATTTGGCAGAAATAGGTCCAAATAAGGTTATGAAATGCATTGGAGAGATTCGTAGGAAACCCATCCCCCTTGTGCATCACACAATGGAGATGTCGCATGTGTGAGGGATTCGCGATTTGACTGCTGTCTCTTATGTATAAGTTCGCAAGAAACCTGATGGTGCCACTGGTTTTCTCTGAAATCATCTCCCATGCTCAAAAAAAGCTCTCAAAGTGAGGCCAAAATGGAGGGGATATCCCACCCTACCCTGAGAGTCCACCTCTACATCAAAACAAACTCTCCATGCAAAGATAGGGAGCAAATACATTGACATGGCTGCCACTTTCTTTGCGGACTCCAAAACTGAAAAAACGGCAACCCTGCTAATATTTTTATTTATTATTTTGGTAAAACTATGTTGAATGTTTATCGACTTAATTTTTAGAATAGAAATAAGTGCTCATTCATAGAGCCTTTTGAAGGGAGCATCAAAATTATGTACACAAATAAAAATCCTTTTTTATCTAATGGACCACTAGACAAGGTACGAATTTAAGCATTCTGATACATGTATCTTAACCAGAATTTCACGTAAAACACGATTCACGCAACGAAAATTACTGAAACCAACTCCTATCAAAGCTATTATTATTTTTATTTCACATTGGTTACGAGGAATTTGAACTGCCCGCTCACAAGAAACTCAAAGCTCTACGTGAGTCAAATCGTGCACTACAACGGTTTCAGAAAAGCTTCTTAATCGAGCAATGTTCATTTCCCACCATGTGTTTTTCAAACTATAAGTAATTTGCTATAGCTGAGCCAAAGTGCCAAGATTGGGGTTGCCAGATTTTTTTATCGCAGAGACGTTCATGATAACGTTTAGCGAGCGATGTGAATCACGTAGAGCATTGAGTTTTCATGAGCGGGTTGTTTGAATTCACGCACCAAGAATCATTAAATATCTTTGGAAGGAGTTGATTTCGGTAATATTCGTTGTGCGCATCGTGTTTTACGTGAAATTTTGGTGAAGAAACATGTATCAGAATACTTAAATTCGTACCTTGTCTAATGGTCCATTAGGTATTGCTCCATATGAACCTGTTGTTATAAAGAATAGTCATCAAAAATTTGTTGCTGTAAAATTGTACCATCTTTAAAGCTGATAGAGTGCATGAAAAGCGCCTAGTAATGGTTTTAATTTTCACAATAATAGAGTCCACACCAAATAAATTTACCCACTTTTATACTTAGACGGAATATCTGCCTTCTTGATCCTTGTATTTTCTCTCAATTCCAAACTGAAGATGGATGATCTTTTCTCCCTCTCCGAAAGTTTTATGACTTATCTGGAATTGGCTCTAGGTATTTGAAATGTATTGCGGCTTAATATGATTAATGCGTGACAAGCTTGTCGAGTTAAATTCTAAATTAAGTCCCTTTTGGAGGCAGAAAACGTAATAAGATATATTTTTTGTTTCAGGTGTGTCCCGAAAGAATTGACCTCATTCATAAAAATTATCGCAAACTTTGCAATTTACTCCTAGATATAGATGAATGGGGACAAGTAGTTATTGTAAATATGCTTACTCGTTATGCAAGAACTCAGTTTTTGGATCCCAACAGAGGTGTAAGTAATCAAATTTTTTGTTCTTTTTTTTCGGATCGTAAGCTTTCAAAATGTTGTTGCTCACTGGTTTCCTCTCAATTTTTTTCATTTGATTTAAATGTATATTTTTTCTTAAGGAAAGTCCTGTTAGAGAGAAAATACTCTGACAATCGAATTTTTCAGTTTTCTGCTAAGAGCATTTTAAAAGTTCCGAAAAGTCTCTTTCGGTTTCTTAACTCAGACATATCACTTCACACCACTCATCAAGTTCAAAACAGAATTTTACATAAACTCAGAAGTCTTTAAATATAGACATGTAAATGTCTTTAAATGTATGTCTTGTGATGTATAATATCTTGAAATGGGACTTTCGTCTACTGAGGCTAAATTTCCAGTAAAGCAATGTTTATTAAGTTTGGTCCAAAGCTGGAATTTAATAATTTAATGGAAAACTTTCTAGCCAGGAATGGACAGTCATTCCATTGATCCATCAATAAAAAATTGATGGAAAGATTTTTTTTTTTTTTACCATATGTATTCCCCGCCCCCCTCCCCCAAAATTTAAGGTTTTTGGTTTTTTTCAGAGGCAAGAAGTTTGAATTTTCTGAGTTTAATGTAAAGCGTAAACGATATTTTTTTTACGAGTTGATTTTGGACATTTTCAACATTTTGTAGTTGCTTTCCATGAAATTTCAGTGAGCCATCAAATTATATGGTGTTTAAGTCTAATCTAGACCTGGTCTAGTCATCTATTATCTTATTTGATTTTTTTAGTAAAAGCAGTCAGATGGAGAAGAAAAATGACCGAAATTTTTATTGAGTATTATTAGTCTTGTTTTTCCATAAAGATAGATTTAATGGAGGAAAATGGCGAAGTATCCGCATATTTGCAATGTAAATATTTGCAAATTTGCATATTAGTTTTTAATATTTAAGTATTTTGATTTGATCCTTAACAAGAAACTCTAAGGTATACGTATTCATTTTTGAACTAATGTTTCTTAATGTTTCAACTCATTTTCTCTTGAAAATTGTTCCGCAAGGCAAGCATCAACCACCCAACTGCATCTGTTTTCAGGGCGATATCGAAAGTAGCGAAGACTCACCATTCTATGATGACGATGATGATGAGGACGATGTAGTATCAAGCAAAAACAAAGCCAACGTCAATGGCAAGAAAAAGGAAACAATTACTCTTGATCCAGATCATCGCCTGTTATTGCGCAACACCAAACCTCTTCTTCAGAGTCGAAATGCTGCAGTAAGTTCCTTTAAGATGATGCAACGGATATTCTTTTAAGCATTTTGTTTAAAAGATTCTATAAGTTGTTCTCTTCTAACTTGACATTTCTTATAATGATTTTATTAATTTCTTATTAATCTCAGTATTCAAAATCCACCATAATAATAGTTGTATGTTTTATGATCCTTCAGTTGAATCAAGGAAAATTAGCCAAAAAATTCAAGGAAGCTCAATTGCTTTACTTGAATGGTTAAGCATCAGCCAGAATTATATTTGAACATGGTAATGGAAATCACCGTAACACCAATAATAATGGTAGGAATTTGCTATGTGAATACACAACAGCAATGTGTTATGAAAGATATTTACTAGATTAGAGCCAAAGCTTTTAAATTGTTACGATCATTATCAAGGCACAAAGTCCGTGCACCCAAATTCCAATTTTTAAGCATCAAAAAGTCAGTTCTAACTTTTTCTTAACCATAAGGATCCATGCAATTTCGAAATTTCAAAAATATATTTTTCAAAGTAGCAAAAACTGCATCTATGCGCCGTGTAAGCCCCTCTTATGTACGTCTTTAAATCATTGAATTAATTTACGCCTTATGAATTCAATGTTCCAGGTTGTGATGAGTGTTGCACAGTTGTACCATCATTGTGCTCCTAGGTCTGAAGTTTCTTTAGTCGCCAAATCCTTGATACGATTACTTCGCTCTCACAGAGAAGTTCAGTCAGTTGTTCTAAACTCTATAGCTGCTATTTCTGTGCATCGTAAGGTAAGGATTTTAAGGGTAATTGTTTTTAAAAGGTGGTATTGAAACAGCTAACCCAGAATGCTTATGAGTGTTTCCCTGGATATCTACCCCAAAATAGTAAGCTCAAATAGTTGCATAATATTATACTTATGGATTAAAACTTAGTCAACATAAAACAAAAATGTAATGATACATTTGATACCAATTGATAATATATACTATGTGACTCTGGGTTTTCAAAATTCATGTCATGTCCTACATTTGTTTCAGGCTATGTTTGAACCTTACCTGAAGAGTTTCTTTGTTCGGACTAGTGACCTTACTCACATAAAAATATTGAAACTGGAAGTGTTGACCAATCTAGCTTCAGAATCCAATATCTCAGTTATTCTACGCGAGTTCCAAACATACATTTCTAGCCAAGATAAAAAATTTGTTGCAGCCGCTATCCAAGCTATAGGAAGGTTTGTTTCAGCTTATACTTTTTTATCTCCCAACTTGTTCACTCATCGAATCTAACCTTACATTATTTTACCAAGTCATTAAAACAATTTTCTCCCTGTTTCTTCATTTTTCATCTGTTGTTCTGCTAAAAAAGATGGAACAAGGTAACCATCGCCACATTAAAATAATCAAACCTCCCAACTTTAAGTGCATTTTTTCATCTAGTAACGTTAACCCTTTCCGGTCCAATGTCGGATATATTCGCCGTGAAAAATAACGCGTTTAGGTCCGATGTCGGATATAGTCGCCCTAAAGTTTTAACCTCTGTGCAGGCCTGATGTCGGGTATATTCAACTGCTCCAGCAAGTGGCGGCCTCTGGTGGACCCTTTGGAAACCACTGTCTTTGTTAACAACATCGCTGCTACCTTAACCTCGCTTCTCGCGGCCGTGGAAAACTGCTGCGGACCGGAAAGGGTTAATATCACTTGCAATCAGTGTCATGATTATGTGCTCTTTTTTTCTTAATGTTGATTCGATTGAAGCTCATCCACCGCTGACATTTTCTGGCGCAAAGATTAACCAAGAAAATTTTTTTCCATGTCTAATTTTATGTAAGAGTTTGAAATTCTTATTTAAGACTGTTATTTAAAATTCTTCTCCCCATGATTTCTGAAGTTAGTATTAGTCCTCAAATCCAGTGATCTTAACCCCCTTTACTTTATTTTTCAGGTGTGCCTCTAGCATTAAAGAAGTGACAGACAGCTGTCTTACTGGTTTAGTCGCAATGTTGTCCAATAGAGATGGTTTGTACATCTAGATCTTTTTACATAGTAGTTATATGTTAGGAATTTTGATATAATTTTAGTTATGACTAACTATCAATTACTTTAAAGAAATTTAATTAAATCGTCATATTTAAGAGGGCTTTATTGAACATTTTTTCATGTGGAGGTAATTGAATCTCATTGTTTGAAAACACCTCATCTCACTTTTTCTAGACACGGCTTCTTTCATCAATCTTGTTTATCATCTGTAGTCTCTTAAAGTTACAACACAGATGCATGTAGAGCGTAAAGTCATTTTCTGTTGGAGAAATTTTATTAAAATAGTTGGCTTTGATGAAAAAAGGTAAAAAAGAAAGTCTAAAGAAAAGCAAATTGTGTATTCTTAAATCACTTGATTCTAATACAATGGAATTTTTCATATTAATTTTAATCACATTTGTAATGAATCAAAACTAAAACCTAAAAAGAAGGTATAAGTAAAGTGGATTAAGTGTCATCCGAAGTAGTAATGTGAGCATTGAAACATTTGACCCATGCAAACCAGATGCATGATTTTCACCGCAAGGTCCAACAAGTTGGACGTATTTCTCAGCCGTATTATGATTTAACATGGCGAAACGAGACAAGGAGATGGCAATAATCAAAGTATTTTTAGATTTGTTTACTTATTTGTACAAATTTTCACACAGAACACTTTGAATGTAGCTGAAAGTTCAGAATCAACTGGCAACTTAGAATTCAGCATATATGGTTTACTTTAGAACCTGTGTATTCAAACTTCTTGCTTGTAGGAAGAAAATATCCCATCTATGGGGAAATAAAGTGATATGTTTGGCAAATAATAGAGTTCCTCCCCACAGAAATCTCCTGTATTCTTGGATACATGTAACTACCTAAATTGTAAAGAATTAAGCTCGTTAAACAATAATTTTATTGCCAGTGACTTGTCCCAAGTTTGAATTGGTGAGTGCCAAAAGCACCAGTTTTTACCAAGTAAACTTTTATGTATTCACTGAGTTCTGTGTACAATTTATACATATGAGAAAATGAACAAAGTACATTTAAATTTTACCTTGTCGGGTTATCAGTTTTAAATTCTTTCGAAGTGTGAAAAGCATCTTTGAATTTTAATATTTTCCTCATAAAATTAATTCATTGCAGAGGCCGTAGTCGCTGAAAGTGTAGTGGTGATCAAAAAACTTTTGCAAACCCAGCCAAGTGCCCATGTAGATATTATCAGGCACATGGCAAAGCTGACAGACACAATAACTGTTCCTCATGCATTGGCATCCATACTTTGGCTTCTTGGAGAGTATTCGCCTCTAGTTCCCACTATTGGCCCTGATGTCTTGAGGAAAATGGCCAAGAATTTCGTCAATGAGGTAAAAACTTTGTACTATCAAATCATCAGATCTGATACTTCGGATCTGACATTGAAAACAATCCATCTACATAAGCAAATGACTGGAACTTGGTTTCAATCGCATTTCCTCCTCTTCTGATACAAAGTATCTTCGATTCCATCCAAAAAAAAGTTGGCACTGAAAAGGATTCTTTCATCAAGGAATATACCAAAATCCTTTAGTGCTCAATTTGACTCAAGTAGACTCCCGTTTTTCTGTATGGGAAGTGTGAATGAACGTAGAAAAAACTGCCATTTCTTAACTTTTGAGCTGAACTTGGAAATTTTAATACATCCATCGTATTCCATGTGAAATTTTGAGGAAGAAACATATATTAAGTTTCTTGATTGCATACCTTGTCTAATGGTCCCTTCAACCCAGTTATGCTTGTGTAAGATTTTTCAATGTGTCTTGGAAACTAATGTGCAACAGTTAAGCCATTCTTTACATAGTTAACTCACAAGTTTTGCAATGCTATTCGGATTGGAAATGTTTTATATAATTTTAAGTCAAAGGTAAAGATAAATATTTAAGTGAAAAACCTTAAATTAAATCAAAAGACAAGAAGACCCTTTAGAATTTTCCAACCAAAAAACTTGGTTTATTTCTATTTGTTGAATCGGGGAGATGAAATGAACTAAATAACTAAAACAATCAACAAAAGTATGGCTAACTGAAGAATTTATTAACTTTTATTCTTACAACACTAAAAATTAGAATAATTTTATTTATCTCTTTTTTTTTTTATCTTGCTTATCAATATTTTGGGGTTGCCGCGTGCTATTTCTTCATGTAGAAAAATAAAATAAATTAATTTTTTTATAGATAAAATGTTTTAGTGTGAATGGTAAAATTTGAATTAACAATTTTCTTGTTTCATTTTTCTCAGGAGGATATCGTCAAACTCCAAGTACTGAACTTAGCTGTAAAATTATATCTGACAAATCCATCTCAAACAGCGTTGCTATGCCAGTATGTTCTCACACTTGCCAGATACGATCAAAACTATGATATTAGGGACAGGTCTAGATTTTTGCGTCAGTTCCTCTTTCCCAACACTGAGTCGAGTCTCTCCAAACAGGCGAAAAATATATTCATGGCAACTAAACCTGCCCCATTACTGCAATCGAAATTTGTGGGTAAGTTGTTTTGATTTGACTGCTATTGAATGTGGGTATGGCTTTATTTTCAAGTCTTTTTCGTAATTATTATTTGATTTCATCAAGTTTTTCTTCCAACTATGATATCATAATACGTTGAATTTTGTAGTCAATACCAAGGTTACTGCCAATGAATAGTGATAGCTGATATTTCTTTTCTATAAGTAATATAAAATCGATGTTCTCAGCATTATTTTTTTGAGAAGAAGTGGTAACAATGGAGTTTTTTTCACCTTAAATAATGTATTATTCTAATGTAATTTTCAAATAGTTTGATGTTTTTATTAGGATACAAATTAAATACGTATCAGACATTACAAAATTTTAAAACAAAAATTTGGGGAAACATGGCTAAAATTGTATGCATAAAAATCGAGACATTTCACTCCAAAATCAATCAAGCATATGTACTTCAGCCAGGAAATTTATCCAAAAAATGTATACGGGTCAAATCACTTTAAAAAGGAGCCACTCACATCACCTTTGCGAAATATCTCTTCAATTTTTTAGGGTTTTTAATTTTTAATTTCTTTCCTTTTTGGTCTCCAAAGAATATTAATCAAGTTTTCGTCTGGTTTTTGTATCATTCAGACCGAGAAGAGTTCCAAATGGGTTCTCTATCCCACTACATCAATACTCGAGCTATTGGTTATCATGATCTGCCTGATTTCCCCGAGAAGGAGCCGGATCCTTCGGTTCGGGACGTCCCGGAGGAAGAAGTTCCCCAACCGAAACCTGTGAAAAAGTCAACCAAAGAACCGAAAGTCAAAGAGTCATCGTTTTACTCCGACTCAAATGATAGCTCATCTCCTGATGAAGGTAAAATTTGAATGGACACTCTTCTTTGAACTGGTACTACGTAAGTGCCAACAAATACATTTCATTTCCTATGGCCATGAATATTTATACTCTCTAATTGATTTTTAAGGAGGAATTATGCCATAAGAAACATCACCTGCTAGATATATTCTCTATTTTTAAGCAATTTCAAGTTTGGTACAGTTAAATCTTTGTACTCTAGTGATTGTCGTCCCAAAAAAATTCGTAAAACGTTTACAGTGATTGAATTGATGAGGAAACCACCCTAAATTGAGGTGTTGCATTCAGAAAGGGTACTTATCGGTTGCGTTGTTTCAGAATCTCCCTTGCTATTTAATATTTTAGAGAGGAAATTAGTCGGTAAATTTCCTTAGATGTTTTGTTTTGAGCATTTTAAAATTGTGAAGACCTGCTTAAAAGTTTTAAGTTTTACATCAATTTACTTTGATCAAAATGGATGAAACATTAGTGAAGATTTTAAGACACCGCAACTGAAAAATGCCTTTTCTGCACTCTGCGCTTCAACATTTCCTATTCTCTCTTTTCTAAAATATTAGTTAAAAATTAAAAATAATGAAATAATTCAAACATGAATCATAAGTCTTCAAAATGCCTGTTTTAGAATATTGTGGGAAATACGCACCAACTAATTATTTAAGCCTGAAAGTAATAATGTTTGGGGTGCAATAATATTATGAATAACTGGATCTGAGTCAGAAAATCGAAATCATTTCTTCCTTTCTTTGCTCACAGAATCTGATAGTGAATCAGGAAGTGAGGAAGAATCTAGCGAAGAAGAGAGTGGATCTGAAGAAGAAGAATCATCATCAGAAGAGGATAGTGATAAGGAACCAAAGGTAAAGATCTGATTTTATTCTTTTTACCATTTTTTTTATAAATTTAGAATAATTCTCCTCTCTTCATCTGTCCTCGAAATGCGGATTTCAAATTTTCAAATTTGTTATTAGAAAATTAAAATTTTGTTTGCTAATTGCTGACACTCACTAAGGAAGTCCCCAAATCCAAAAAGTGGATCCGCCTTATAAATTTAATTTATTTTTAACTTTTAATCAGTTAATAAATACTAGTGAGATAAGTTGGTTATAGCTGGTTGGTTAAAAAAACTATTTGAGTTATATTTCATCTGGACAGCCTTAACATGAATTGGTTCAACTCACCTGTGAGTTGATTTTACAGACAGGTAAAAGCAATCAAAAACTTGCAGCAGACCCAAAAATTTGTATCAAAAACCAAATTGGTCCTGTCCCAATTAGTTCTAATTTCCCATTAATCAGGAGTCTTCCATAAAATCATCCCACTAAGCCCATTTGACCTGCTACCCTTAACCTTTTAGATTGCCTCATCTCTAAATTTTGTTGTGAATGTTAAGCAATTTCAGAAATTTCTGTGTTTTACACTTAGTTCTCAGAATCCCAATTCATGCGAGGATTTTTTTTTTAATTCCTAGTATTTAATGCTTGGTTTAATTAATGGTATAAATTAATTTGGAATCTCTTGCAGAAACCGGTGAAATCCAACAAATTGATTAAAAGCGCCACCTCAAGCAGCAGTGAAGAGTACACTGATAGCGAAGAGGAATCCGATTCAGACGAGGCTCTTCCGAAAGTCGTGAACAAGAAGAAGTCTAATGTGACCCCTACAACTGCCTCCAAGCCAAAGAGCAATGTCGATCTGCTGCTGGATTTAGATGACTTCGTCCCAAGCATGTCTACACCAGTTATGACACCGTCTCTGGGTGGATTCCTTACTCCAGTTTCAGCTTCAGTCTCGTCTCCTGCACCGCTATTCAGGTGAGTGTCATTTTATTTATACTTTAGATGAACTAGAAATCTTGAAAAAATTATCAACACACCAAGGAGAAGAAATGGAGACCCAAAACTGATGAGTGTGATTCATCAAAAGTGAATGAATATTTCCTTTTCCCCTCTACTAGTTCTAAAACAGAGTGTTCAAAAAATGTCCAAATTTAAGTGAGCTCATAATTCACCACTTGCAACGTGTTTGTTTCTTCTCAATGTGTTCTGCATGCCTCGAATGTTGCGGATTTTTTTTTTTTCTGTAATCAAAATGATAATCTGCCCACATTTTTTTTTAAATTTTCCATGTAATACACTTTTATAACATCAAGTATTATCACAAACGACTTTCAGAGATGGCATTTGCAAGTTCACTCGTGAAAGAATCAGCTCAACTACATCTGAACTTCATTTTGCATTTAGGAACTCCAATTCCTGGCTCATCCTTAAAAACGCTTCTGTACATAGAAAAACTAATGGTTTATACGTTGTTTGTAAACTGAGCCAGAAATTGTAGTTCACGATCGCAAATTTTTTTCCATTTCTCATTGCATAATTTTCTCTCATGTCCCAGTTTATTATCAGAAAGTTAGCATCATTCATAACATCTCAAAATTTTTAAGAATTTTCTCTACATTAGAAAGGAGAAACTCATCTTTCTTAGTAGAATGTTACATTTTGCTCTGTTAATCAAGTTAATATTTGAGGAAAGTCAGGCTACATGTGAAGTGAAGCCGATACTTACTGGGACAACCATCAAATTTGGGAGAATATCTAAAGAATGCTAAAACTTCTCAATGAAGTTGGTTTTTGTTTATTCGGAGGTAATTTTGTAATGCAAATTGTATTAATTAGCAATCTAAAGTTCTTCACGTCGTGTTGAAAATAATTCAAGTTTTTTATACTCTGAATAGCGCCCAAGTGACCAGTTCATCCCACTCATCGGGAAAGTCTTTTGAACTGCTGAACAAAATTAACGGTGGCAAAAACCAGCTGAGCATTAGCGGGCGCTTCACTCGGTCCCCAAATCCTTTCTCTCCTACCATGGTCTCCATCGAGCTGACATTCACCAATCATGAGTCATCAGAGGCCCTCACAAATATCCACATCGGTGCGAAAAATTTGTCATCAGGAATGATGATCAACGATTTCACAACGATCCTAGAAATTCCACCTCTGAAGAACACTATTGGAACAATAGGAGTTGACTTCAACGACTCAATCAAACCTGTCAATTTTGATATTGTCTGGATGCATAGCGGGATGGAGCATGTGGCGAAGGTTTCATTCTCTGCACCTGTAGGTGAACTTGTCCAGCCTTTCATAATGCAAGAGTCTGTGTTTTTGTCGAAACAGAGTAATTTGCGAGGGATGAACGAGCAGACCGCCAAGTTCTCTCTCAAACCCTCGTGCTCAGTATTGACGACAGTGTTAGAAGCATGTAATTTCAGTGTCGTGTCCTCGTCAGACAATGTATACCGGTTTGCAGGTCAGACAACTTCGCAGAAAGTTTTAGTTCTGTGTACTGCAATTGTTAATGAAAATAATGTAGACCTTACTGTCAATTGTAATGATGCAATCTTTGGATCAATGATGCTGACGTTTGTAAAAAATATTTTGTCTAAGTAAAAAACTTGTTATACATCTTTGCTATCATTTGTCGTCATATAGTTCATCATCTTTACCCTCCAATATTTTCCCCAGACGCCCTCAGCTGAAGCTGTATCATGAATACTAAGTACATAAATAGTAGTGAGTATTAGTGTTGTAAGTAAGTGCATCTTTCATTACCAAAAGAGGGTGTGATTAAAACTCTTCCCTTGTCTTAATTAAGGGTATAATCGAAGATGACGTACCTAAATGCTCTTCAAAAATCGAGGTTTTTGGTTTTTTACGTGATAAAACAGTTCTTATGATGACTCAAAGAAGAAAACTGCAAATGATTTTCCGCTAGACCTACGGCACTGGCACCCTTCATAGCTCTCAGTTACACCTGTTTGCAGTTCAAGCGTTTTCATGCCAAGGTGCTTACTGGTCCGGAAATAGTGCTGATTTTTTTAAGGCGGTCCGAAAGCACTGAAAAAGTACGAAAATTCCCTGCAAAGGTCCGGATTTTTTTGCTACATACCACGGGTGCTCTTTAAAACAAAATGGAAAATGTACAATCCGTTGCGCAATGATTCTTACTGAAATAATTTTCCCCTAGATCGAAATTGTACAGCCAGCCTATCCTCAGGCTATGGATGAGCCTCCAATTTCCTGGCTACGTCATTTTTCTCGCGATTTCGGCATGAATTTCGAAAATTTTCGAATTTCGTCTCTCAAAGATTTTGGAAAGGTACTGGAAAAGAACTGTAAAATAACTCAATATTTCCCAGCCAGTTTTAGTAGACACCCTATTTATACAACACCAGAGAAATAAACAATTGGCAAAAAACAGCTAAATTAAGGAAACTCAAGTCAATAATTTAATACAAGAAAGTACTGTAGAAAATGTGTTTAAAAAGCTTAAATAGAACGAAACATATCCCAGCAACTCTTATGGTCATAATCAACTGAAACAAAAAGTTAAAACAAGGGTGTATCCGCATAATTGTTGCACTAGCCTGTAAGAATAGTCATCCCATTTATCTTACGATTCAAATTTCAAAAACGCCCTCAATTGTGCTGTGACACCCCACGTATTCCAGAGAGTACGAAAAGTTGTATCATTATGCCTTAGCAATGCAATGGAGGATTAATATTTAATCTGCTCCCACAGTGGCATTCTCAATTTTCATTTGCCGCTGTTGCAGTTTTGACCGCATAGTTTAAGTGTGCTCAAGTGAGGATTGTATTTAGCCGAAGGATAATTTTTATAGAAGAATTAAAAATAAACAGGCTGTAAAAAATATGCCTCCTAAAAAGGAACTCAAATCATCAATTTAAAACAGGATGTACAATAAAAAATGTGCATAAAACGCTTAAATAGAATGGGAAAACACCTGAGAATATTACACAAGCATAATCAACTGGTGCAAAATCCATAAACAAAAAATTAAAATGAGGAGATTTGCTCAAAACTGTTGCACTGGCTCGTTAAATCAGTCATCCCATTTATCTCAATAAGTTCCGAGTTTCATACGACAGAAGAATCAAGGTATGGAAATTTGGCAGTTTTTTTAAAACGCCTTCAACTGGGTGTGATACCGCACGCGTTCCGGAGAGTACGTATAGTTGTGTCACTGCGCCTTAGCGATGCGATTGAAGATTGATATTGAATCCGTCCCACGGTAGCCTTCTTGGTCTTAATTAGCCGTTTTTGAAGTTTTGATTGCAGAGTTTAAGAGTGATCAAGTTAGGATTGGATTGAACCAATACATTTTTTTTATAGAAGAATAATAATAATAAAAAGAAGAAGCGTTAAAAAATACAACTGAATAAAAGGAACTCAAATCATCAATTTAGTACAAGAAAGTACAGTAGAAAATGTGCATAAAAAGCTTAAATAGAACGGGAAAACACCTGAGAATATTACACAAGCATAATCAACTGGTGCAAAATCCATAAACAAAAAATTAAAATAAGGAGATGTGCTCAAAACTGTTGCACTGGCTCGTTAAATCAGTCATCCCATTTATCTCAATAAGTTCCGAGTTTCATACGACAGAAGAATCAAGGTATGGAAATTTGGCAGTTTTTTTAAAACGCCTTCAACTGGGTGTGATACCGCACGCGTTCCGGAGAGTACGTATAGTTGTATCACTGCGCCTTAGCGATGCGATTGAAGATTGATATTGAATCCGTCCCACGGTAGCCTTCTTGGTCTTAATTAGCCGTTTTTGCAGTTTTGATTGCAGAGTTTAAGAGTGATCAAGTTAGGATTGGATTGAACCAATACATTTTTTTTTTATAGAAGAATAATAATAATAAAAAGAAGAAGCGTTAAAAAATACAACTGAATAAAAGGAACTCAAATCATCAATTTAGTACAAGAAAGTACAGTAGAAAATGTGCATAAAAAGCTTAAATAGAACGGGAAAACACCTGAGAATATTACACAAGCATAATCAACTGGTGCAAAATCCATAAACAAAAAATTAAAATAAGGAGATGTGCTCAAAACTGTTGCACTGGCTCGTTAAATCAGTCATCCCATTTATCTCAATAAGTTCCGAGTTTCACACGACAGAAGAATCAAGGTATGGAAATTTGGCAGTTTTTTAAATCGCCTTCAACTGGGTGTGATACCGCACGCGTTCCGGAGAGTACGTATAGTTGTATCACTGCGCCTTAGCGATGCGATTGATGATTGATATTGAATCCGTCCCACGGTAGCCTTCTTGGTCTCAATTTGCCGTTTTTGCAGTTTTGATTGCAGAGTTTAAGAGTGATCAAGTTAGGATTGGATTGAACCAATACATTTTTTTTATAGAAGAATAATAATAATAAAAAGAACAAGCGTTAAAAAATACAACTGAATAAAAGGAACTCAAATCATCAATTAAGTGCAAGATAAAGTACAGTAGAAAATGTGCATAACTTTTTTAACTGTTACTTTTTTGGTCGATTTTGACAATTTATTTCATTACTCCTTGCTTTCTCGGGAGTGTCTTTTCATTCTGTTATCTTCCAACTGCGCCAACTTTCTACTGATTCGACCAGAGTTGGTGGTTGAAACATACCTTTTCCTAAGCATTAAGATACGTTTTGATTTTTCTCGGCTTATTTTCAGTAGGTATGTTCTTTTCTTCTCTCCTCATATATGTTTTCCGGTAATCTTACAAGAATTTTTTCCAGAAAATATTTCCCTCTCCCAACTTCTGTATTTATATATGTACCTTTAACCCATCAATTCTCGATCATCTTTTGAACGATAATTTTTAAGAAAGCTTTTCAATTATTATTTATTACAATGGGCCAGTTGCGCTGGTAACAGAATCGTCTTTTGATGCTTAATTCTTGTATATTAGCTAAAAATAAGAAGATATGTCCAAACAGCAACTTTCTACGTTGAATATCAACCGAGATATCGTCTTTTGAAAAGTCGGCTTTTTGACGTCATCCATATATCTGGTAGTGCATAACTTGGTATGTACAACCGCGGTGGATGACGTCAAAAACCCGACTTTTCAAAGGACGATATCTCGGTTGATATTCAACGTAGAAAGTTGCTGTTTGGACGGAGCTTATTTTATCCTTAGTTGCTCTGCAAGATAAAGCATCAAAACACGATTCTGTGACCAGCGTAACTGACCCATTTACGAAAAACGAGGGAATTTTTCAGAAATTGTTCTTCTCGGTCACTAGATTGTAAGGTTACTCCTCTCAAAATTTTATTTTTGAACTCATTGCTGTAGGTAGGTATACAGTAATGCGGTCATATGATCAGATTAAAAATTCATTCGCTTTTTTTTCTTTTTTTCTTTAAGAGCGTGACTTCGCTGAAGTCAGTTAAAATATCACTTCCCATGATGACGTTACAGCTGGCTGGAAGATGAAATCATTTCCCGCAAGTGTACTTACCTGCATCCGAATTTACGCCATACCGTTTTGAACGGCGTGATCGGAACTTTTTTATGAGGAGATTGACATGGCGTGTGGTTTGTCAACTTTTTGCAATCATGCGGTGGCGATGCTACGTAACGCCCTCGTCAAAAACGAAAAATATTCTGGCCCCTCTCATGTTCGCCCGTGAGAGGGAGGGGAAAAAACTGAAAAAAGAGTAAAAATAACTGGAAGAGAGACCAGATAAATTCCGGAAACAGAAATGTCGATTGACCTCATCAGTACCTCTCTATAATTCTTCGAAAAATGTAGAAAATAGGAACAAGAATATAAATCGCCAAGACTACCTACTCTCCAAGGTTTTACTGAATTTTCAGGAACCAGTTGGTGTACCATTTTTCGACTCCTCAAAAGTGAATGTGTTCATAATTTCGAGTATCAGGTCGAAGTTCTCAGTGTCCCTAGAAAGAGGAGTCATCATAGTGCATGTGTCAGAGGATATGATGTATCGCCGAATTCTACTCTTTTCGGTGAGTAGCATACAATTTTTAACCTAACTGCAAGGGAACGTTCATAAATTACGTAGCGCTCTAGAGCGAGAGGGCATGAGCCTACGTTACAAGAGGTGAGTGAGTTCAAAGCAAGCGTTACCTAGCCCTCTCTATTATTCAATGATACATACAATGATAACAGTGATACATCAATGATAACAGTGGAAAAACAAGGAGGAAAAACGGGAAACAAGGCTAAAAATACACAATTAATAAAACCCGAATTTGAAATATCACATTGATTCAAATTTTGTAGAGCTATTTTTCAAAAAGCGTTGAAAGGGTGTAAGTTCCAAATGTAAACATATCTAGAATGTCGATACTTCACCCAGGAAAGAAAATCTGACGCTCATCCTACATTTTACTTTAACGTTGAAATCATTGTATCAGAATTCATATGAATATATCATTCATTTATCAATTGAAACATGTATCAGAATGCTGAAATTCGTACCTTGTCTAGTGGTCCATTGTTTTTTCATTTAAATTTATAGGTTTAGGATTTATTTCAGGGTGCTTAATAATTTTTTTTCATGTTTCAGGCACTCTCCGTCTGCAAAGTAAATGCAGAGTCTTTTCTTATCAACCGTCTAGATTTTACTCAAGACGGTCGAGGTA